CACCCTGCAGACACACCGGCCCTCCAGGACCAGGACTGGACACCCTGCAGACACACCGGCCCTCCAGGACCAGGACTGGACACCCTGCAGACACACCGGCCCTCCAGGACCAGGACTGGTCACCCTGCAGACACACCGGCCCTCCAGGACCAGGACTGGACACCCTGCAGACACACCGACCCTCCAGGACCAGGACTGGACACCCTGCAGACACACCGACCCTCCAGGACCAGGACTGGTCACCCTGTGTCACGTTCGTAACCCCCCCCTCTTAAGGACTCCAGCCCTTCCTTGTTTTCTACTCATCCACCACACCTGCTCCCTGTTCCAACCCCCTTTTTCAGTGCTCCTTAAAAGCCAGGCACTCACTCTATTCCAGGCTCTCCCTTGGTTTCCATACCAGGCGAGTCCGGGACCTGGAAGCGCCTTGTCCTGTCAAGTTTTTAGTTCCTGTTCCGACCCCGTTCCTGTTTTTAACCCTGTTTGTCTTGGATGGACCGCCCAGCTTTGGACTTTTGCCTCCTCTTGGATTCTCCCTTAGACTCAGTTCTGGATCGTTTGCCTCGGCCACACCTTCCCTGATCACCAGCACACCACAGATACGCCCCCTGTTTTCATTCCCGACTTCCGCATTCTTTTTTCCCCGTGTTTTCCTCACTCATCCCCGGATTGTGTCGTCTGCATAGGGTCCGGAAAGAACGCTTTAGTTACACCCTGCAGACTCACTGACCCTCCAGGACCAGGACTGGACACCCTGCAGACACACCAACCCTCCAGAACCTGGACTGGACAGCCTGCAGACCAACTGACCCCATAGGACCAGACTGGACAACCTCCAGACTCACTGACCCTCTCGGACCAGGACTTGACAGCCCTTTGAGCTGGGGACCAGCCAAGTCTGAGTTGAAGGTACCAGCTTGGTCCAAGCAGAGTCTTCTGACGGTGCAGCAGACACATTACACAAGAGATAGAAATTGTTGGAGCTCAATGTAAACTGAGGTGTACAGTTGAGTCTGAGCATCAGTGGTCTGCTGTAACTTTGTCACATGACAAGGTGCTGTTCACGTATGAATCAGTATCCTCCTTGCCTTCTTCTGTGACTTATGCCAGAGTGCACTATTGCAGCTGAGTCATGCCCTGGGTGTGATATGTGATAGAGCAGGTCTCCAGGTACTCTTGGTTTGGTAACCCCACCTGTCAGAGCAGCTCACTTTATAATGGATCCTCTAGAGGATTCTCCAGGGCTTCTCTAGGCTGTGATCTTTAGAGTCTGGAGCAAATGACTCAGCAGGAGTTAACAACAGGGGTTTGTTTCAGAAGCAGGTCAGTGTGTTGTCCAAAACATCAGAGAGTAAAAGGACTTGTTTAGGCCCTGTGTTTAACAGGGGTGACCATCCCTGGTCAAGAAGATCTACAATCAAGCAGGCTGTATAGGCTACAATTAAATCATCCATTGCTGGACGGAGGGAACAATTTCATTTTGACAAATTAAGCAATTCAGTATATCTGCTGTGTATTAAGGAGCTGCACCTGTGGCTGGAAGGTTGCCGGGTTGTATCCCTCGGCCGGCAGAGGAAGCCTACTCCGTTGGGCCCCTGAGCAAGGCCCTCAACCCCAAGTGCTCCAGGGGCCCCGTAAAAATGGCTGACCCTACGCTCTGACCCCAAGCTTCTCTCCCTGTCTGTGTGTCTGTATTTCTCATGGAGAGCAAGCTGGGGTATGCAAAAAGACAAATTCCTAATACAAGAAATTGTATATGGCTAATAAAACTATCTTATCTTATCTAAGGTGGAGGTGAATAGAAATATAAGGACATGAATGAGTAAGTGGATCCGGAGGAACAGCACACATTAGAAGATGAGACCAAACACTTAGAAGACACAGGAAGGCAACTGGGTTCCAAGTCTGTTTTTATTCCTCTGTTTTCACTCACCATAAACCTCCCTCCCATCCCCTCCCCTCCTTCATCTCGAATCCCTCGGCAACTCTCACAACTGGAGGAACGCACTGAGTGCTGGCGGATTTATTACGAAGCGTCTTCCCTAAAGCCAGTTTCTACACCACGCAAGGAAACGGGAAGCACAAAGACAACACGCCGGAGAGAAAGAAAAGGCTTAAAGTTTGCGAGCTAGCCATTGTCCTTAAAATGACAAAACAGCACCAGTAACCCTGCTTCGAACTCCCACAACTTCCTCGTTTACAGTACAGCAGCATGGCAGCCAAGTTCCTGTGTCTTCCGATCTAACCTCTGCCTGAGTCCACTGTCACGAGGCCTCATAGCCTCATCTTTCAAGTCACTTACTTCATGTCTCTAAGGGGTGGCTGGGGAGGAATTCTCTACAATCTACAGGAGGCACTCAAAGGAACTCCCCGACAGGAATTATTATAGTGTCCAAAAGACTTGCTGGATATCTCAGTCTACTACTCAATTCTCATGTGTAAAGCTGAACTGCTCTTAAACATCTTACTGTCTCTGATCTAGCTGTAGAGTGTGGATGTGCACCTGTGACAGGTAAAACCTGCAATGGACAAAACTTACTCCATAATGGGATTGGGATTTTTTTCCCCAATATCTGCTACCTCACCACCACGAAAGGTCAGGCGGCCTTCTCATTTTCTTCATCTTCCTCATCCTCTCGTGCTTTTCTGCTGCCTAGAAAATGTGTCCCCTTGGTCTCTCCCACAATGCCACAGCTCACCCTCTGTGTCTTTCACCTCTTAATAAATTACAGTGCCAGTGCCTCACTGCCATGCGTATATAACTCAATTCCACAATTAAAAATAAAAAATACATACTCAGCATCCTTACTGAATTGAACAGTCACTGGTTCCAAGGCCAACGCCAGTCCACTGTTTTCAGTCAAAAGTTACATCATCACAAACACAGCCACCCATGACTGCTACAAAGAAAGAGGCTTGATGCGCTGCAGTGTGCCTGGGTAGCTCATCACGTCAGTTTCTTTAACTAGAGAGAAAAATGACTAGTAAATGCACTTGAGCTAGGGTTTTCCTCAAAACCTTACATTTCTTTATCTTGGGTCACTGTGCTTTACAATGCTTCCAATGGTCTCTGCTACACTGGACTCCTAATTTAAATACATCATTGTAACATAATAAAATGTCTTAGAGTTTTGTTGCACAGTTCCCATACATATTTACCCAGGCAAACAATGCAGTTATCAAAATCTAATGCAGTGAAGCCCAATGATGACCTGATGCAAGTGTAGGAATATGCAATGAAAACAAGGCAAACTTGTACAAACTATGGGAAAGATGCAAAGTCACTATGTAAATTTAATAGAACATGTTTCCCCCAGAGGCATTTCAACCCATGCACACAGGAACAGACTGCACGTGGCAGAAGAGGCTGGGAGAACGAGAGTCTTGCACGGCCTCTTCCTGTACACGGAGCACCGCTCACACTTTCTAACTACCTGCAATAGCTGACAGAGCCCTGGCTCTCTGGGGGTGTTCACAGCCGGAGTGAGGGCTCAGGCAGACTCTCTCACAGCTGTCCAGGGATGGCCAGCGACTGTACTGAAGGAATGCAATAGCCAGGCTGGCACCCTCTGACAGACAGCCTCCTTCAACACCCCAGACAATGAAAAAACAGTTAACTCAAAACCTGTGACCTGGTGCACTCTAATTTGGGACATGTACAAACGGGACCATGAGTACACATGCAGACATCATCTACACTGGGCAGAGTCCTCTAGCTGAGGAATGCAGCCATCACGCAGGCAGCAGTGATGCACGTGCCTGAAGACATGCACTGCTCTTGTGCACGCCCATGCTGCTCATGACCGGGTGTCATTCCTCCACAGTGTGAATTTTCACACTATCCCATAATCCCTCTGACTGTATACCAATCACCCCCGCTCGCATCAGTGATACCACATGCACAGCCTCAAAATCCCTTCGCTTTCACTCTCTCAGGAAGCGTTTTGCTCATTGCAGCCTTTTTGCTATCAGTGCAGGAAACTCACCGAATCCTCTTGGGTGTCGGAATCCTTATACAGTACTAGTTTAAACACCCTCATGGTGCTCTTCTGTCGCTTCGCTTCTTACATGAATAGTCTGCCAGGTGTGTTTTGTGACTGTCTGCTCATGTGTCTGGCTGTCTGAAAAGGCACCCTGAATCCCAGTGAGAAGACACGTTGGTGTGTTGAATGGAGTGCTTTTTGCTCAGTAAAATGTCATCTGCAAGCTTTTTTTAGCAAAAGCTTTCTACGCTTAAGGCATAAACTGGTAAGAACAGAATTCTTAAGGATGTCTCGCAAAGCTAACTATTCAAACAATACAACAGGTTCTTTAAGATGCTTTTTCATAAATTAGTTTTAGCCAGAACCCTTAGATAGCCTGCATAGTGACAGCATACTAATATAATTAATGACTTACTGTTTCCTTATTGGTTTACCTTGCTTTGCTTATGGATAATTTTAAAATGATCCGCTGACATGCAAAGAGGTCTGTGTCCAAACGTCTGCCCCTTGCTTGTGTCTGGATTGCTGGGGTCAGAGGTGAAGCACGACAACAACAACCCCTGCCACCTCTTCTTTATAAGATGTGTTCCGAGACATGTTTGTAAAGAGACATCTGCCAATTTCAAAATAATTTAAGATAATTCTTCCACTTCTAGACAAACTACAGACACAATACAGAATACATAAACCGATCAGAACACGAGAAGGAAGTTATGATGTTTCATTTTGGCTTTGACGGGCAAGTCGAAGAGACCTAAAAGCAGAAAAAAATGACAGAAAATCCCTCCACATGCCTTGAAATCTTCACAGTAAAGGCAACGAGTAAGTCAGAAGGTATCAAGAGACTACAGAAGGACAGTATCACACATTCACATCAGCTAAAGGTGCTGCAGAACAGCTCTGTAATGACTTGCAGTCTCAAACACTCAATCAAAGCTAAGGGGCCTTAGTGAGAGCTTCACAATGGGGTTTTCGGCACTGTCACATAACAACGTGTGTTTACTTGAAGAGTGAGGAGGCATCTGCTCTAGGAAGGCAAGACAGCAATGATGTTTTTCTCTCTCTGACTTGTTTAGGATTGTGTTGTCTCTCGCTGGTGAATGAAAACTATAATCCTTTCTGACAACCTACTGTATCTCAGTCTTCAAAACAGTACATAAAGACCCACTGTTTTCTCTCCTGTGATTGCAAATATCTAGTACTCTATTCTACCTCATTGCTCCTCATTGCAGCATAATCAATGCTGCCACATTGAGCTAGTTTCCACTTTGTTCTCTCTCCTTTACACGTCATGATTGAAAACAGGGCTCATCCCTTCAAGGTGCCAGACTCAATTGGCAGCCCTTCGTTCTGTTGTTCACCACCAGCCATGGAACAGCCCAAAAGCCACCATTAGGACTTTCAAATCTAAACTGAATACAAACTTTAATACTCTGAATTTTATTGACCGACAACAATAACAATTGCTGGTTGTTATTATGGTATGGAGCTTTATGTCATCTTTTTTATTCTCCCTGTGTAACTGCTTCTTTTTTCTTTAGAGAATTTAGATGCTACACATGAAAGGAATTGTGTGAAATCGTTTTGAACTACCATACAGCAAAAGGCTGTGTAATTGTGGTGTCTGAAAAGTATTACCTTAATCCAAATTCTTTGTTGTTTTTTTTGGAAATACTCTACAGTAAAACAATGAGGCCGCAAGACATCCTTAAACACTTATGAATATGGTGATTGTGGGGTTTTGTAAACTGATCTTCCAAAACACCAGCTCTTCAAGTCTGAATCCTTTCTTACATCTAATGAACAGCAATTTAAATATATTATTTATAACTGCTCAAATGCACAAATGATCCTGAAATCAAAACCTCAGAACACCACTGGAAGAGATACAATACAAAAACGTGAATACAGCGGTTTGTGATTTAGAAATGTCCAGAAATTCAACTCAGAACACAGCCCCAGGGAAAATCAAGAGGAGCTCAAAATGTCTCCGTAGCAGAGTATCCCATCACAGTGCAGAGTCCGTACATTTAAATCTCTCCCATTCAGAATTACTGTCACCCCCCCTGCACCTAATTGTGGATTGGAGTGTGTGTCAAGCAAATTCTTATTCTTATTCTTCACAGTAATACTTCTGTATCACTAACATGCTCAAGATGACAAGCGTCGACAGGTACAGCTCACAACACCAGCAGGCAGCTGATGGTCTGATGTCTCAGTGGATTGTGGGAATCACACACTTGGTATTGAAACTCTAGAAAGCGCACTGGGCTGGGATGGGAAAACACTGCTACAGGACTGCATGTGCAGGCATCTTCAGTAGCGCAGGGCGCCGGGTCTCCACACGTTGGACTGAATCCCGATCTTGGAGGCCTGGAAGCGTGGTTTGGGCACCTGAATGGTGGCTGCGCTGCTGAGAACAGAGGGTCGAGAGGGGCCTAGGGGACTGAGCTCGGGCGTGGTCTGGTACTGCTTGGCCTCCTGGACAGGGGTGCCAGCGGGGGCAGGAGCAGAGGCTGGGGGAGGAGCGGTGGTGGTGGGGGGGGGAGAGCAGATGTTGGAGCGAAACAGAGGCTCTCCCAGGGTGGTGGCAGCACGCGGCGCGATCACAGTGGGCGTTAGCGATGTGGGGACGGACATAGGTGTCGGGGTCGAGAAGCGCTTGATCTCGTACACGCGTGCGGCTTTTACGGGGATCTGCCTTGGCTGCGTCAGGGAGCTGCCCATCAGGGGGCGCGACTGCTGTGCCACCGACGAACCGCTGCTCCCGAAGCTGAACATGGCTGGGTTTAACTGGTATGGCTGTCTCCTGATGAAATCGATGGCTTTGATCCCCTCCTTCTGCGAGGTCTTTCTGCCGCTCCATGTGCCCGTTTTGGGGGCCTCAGCGGCCTTGGTGCTCCGCTGGGCTCCGGGGGGGCAGGAAGGAGAGAGCAAGGGGTTGTAGCCGATGGGAGGAGGTGCTCGGATGTTGGAGGAGTACTTCCAGTGTGATGGCAGGGAGGGAGTTGGAGAGGGCAGGCGAGGCCTGGCTGGGGAGGCTGGCTGTGAGGTCTGCTGAGGGGAGGTGTCCACCACAAACCGGTCCATGCGGCTCTGCCTGCGTGCAAAGAGCTCTGCCCCCTTACCTCCCAGCTGGGGTATCTCGGGCACGTGAATACGTGGCTTGGGGGCCACAGGTGGCGGTACTTTGTGCTTCTGTGCCTGCATGAAGTTGCAGGCCTCTGCTCCAAGGTTGAGGAAGTCCTCCTCAGGGCCGGACTCAAACCCTGCTTCTGTTACCCCTTTGGGCCTCTCGTCCAGGTTCTGCACCAGGGACAGCAGCTCTGGGTTGGGGGAGCTGCCCTTTTTCTCCTCGGGGCGGCTGAACATGGGCTTCTTGGTGCTGCGTCTCCGGGCCTCCTGCAGGATACCGGTACGGGCCGCCGGCACGGAGATCCTCTGCTCACGGGACACCAAAGCTTCTGTGGAAGAAGGGGCAGAGTAGGCCGGTGGGGCAATGGGGCCGGCAACAGGAGGGGCAGCTGCCGGGGGCTGCAAGCTGGAGGGGAGGGGCGCAGCCGGCGCTGGAGGGGGCGAGAACGGAGGGGGTGGTGAGAGGACAGACAGAGGGGCCACCGCAGAGGCCGATCGAGCTGGGATGTACAGGGACGCCGTGGAGATGGCCAGCTTGGGAGCAGAGGCAGGAGGAGCAGAGAAGGGGGCAGGCACAGAGGCCATAGGTTGAGAAGAGGGAGGTTGAGAAGGCGTCTTCCTTGCAGAGGTGGGCCGGAAGATGACAGGTGCTGTGGCAGCCCGGGAGCTGACAAACCCGGGCGTGAAGGGTCGGGCAGTTCTGTTCAGCACTGAGCTGGAGGGCAGGTCAGGCAGCTGAGGAGAGGTCACAACCACTGGCTGTCTGACTGGCATAGGTGCCAGATGAGGGGGTGACATCAGCTCAGCACTTCTGCTCTTGGGACTGATGTCTCCATTCATCACGCTGTAGCTAGGGGGGGTTATGGGAGTGGACGGCTGTGTGTTAGGAGTGCCTGCTTCCCGTGGCATCTGCGCCACCTCTGGCACACTGCCTGTCACAGTGTGCTCCTCTGCCCTCTTTCTTTGCTGCTCAAAGAGCTGGGCACCTCTCCCCGCAGAACCAGGCAGGCCCGGGCTTTCCGGAGCCCCAGGGCTGGAGGATCTCTGGGAAGCAGGGTCCTTTTTTTCCAGGATGTCCAGGTAGTCACTGTCCCAGGTCGTGTCAGCATCGGCAGCCGCAGCAAAGCCATCTTCGTCAAACTCAGACTCGCTGGTGGGGAGGACCCCGTCCTCCTCATCTTCATCGCCCTCCATGTCTGCCCGGAGCTGGTCCTCCTCCACACTGCCGTAGCTGATCAGCGTGTACTTCTTGGCGCGCTGGCGCCGCTTCTTGAACATCAGGACGCCCTTGGAGTGGGGGTTGGGCGCGTCGGTCAGCAGGGAGGCGATGGTGCGGCACTTGGTACGAGCTTCCTTCACCTGCTTCTCCTGCACACTCTCGCTGCGATGCAGCTCTGCAAGGGGAGACACAGGGCAAGGGTCAGGCCTCGGCTTGACGGCAGCAGGGCAGAGCTGGGCAGGTCCGCAGTGACTGACGTTACATTGCCAACAGCTGGGAGTCTCACTTCCTTTTTGTGCAAAACATGAAGATGAATGTCTCTCATCCACCAGAGACGGGAGCTGTTGGCAATGCACCATGAGTCATCAGGGGATTGCCCAGTAAAGAGCTAAAGAACAGTTTTCTGCAGAAGAACAGTTGTGGGGGACACCCTGATTGCTTAATGGTCCCAATTTATATCACACAAAGTGTTTATTATTACCATAGCTGGTTATTCAAGAGTGAGTCGGTGTTTTTCTTTCTGCTCAAAAGACACTTCACAGTCACCCCCAGCAGATCAGTATCTCACTGTGCACAGTCACCCCCAGCAGATCAATGTCTCACTCTGCATGGTCACCCCCAGCAGATCAATGTCTCACTCTGCACGGTCACCCCCAGCAGATCAGTGTCTCCCTCTGCACAGTCACCCCCAGCAGATCAATGTCTCACTCTACACCGTCACCCCCGGCAGATCAGTCTCTCACTCTGCACGGTCACCCCCAGCAGATCAATGTCTCCCTCTGCACGGTCACCCCCAGCCGATTAAGGTTTCACGCAGCAGGAGTGATGAAGGAGAAAAGAAAGAACTCCACCCACCTGTCTATGCACATGTGCTCAAAACAGAGTAAAAGACATGAAATAAGCAGCATGTGATGCTGGCTCAGACAATGGTAAAACCTGGAAGGCTCAAAGTGCCGTGCAATGGGAGCCTGATTGACCTCCCAGGCATATCCTCCCATCGCTAGCTAGCGCAGAACTGGACCAGCATTGTGAACTACACCAAATCAAAACACTTGGGGAACAATATTTTCCAATTTTTATAAACCATATAGAAAAGGTGTCCCTGACTGATGCTGATGACCTATGAGATCAGGCTCCAAAAATACCCTTTTTTACACAAGCATCATCACTGTCATGAAGTTCTGATCCTACAGGAGCAGTGTTTTGCACACTACACATTCATCACAATTTCAGCCAGGCTTTGCAGGGAACCAAATATGCCCTCTGAGGAAATCAGCATGTCAGCTGTCCTTCACACTGTAAACGGGCAACAGGGAATCACATAATTAACTCCTTGCAGTAGGAAGCATCCTTCTGAGTCAACGTGCTCCTAGTTGTAGCTGACATTGATGCATTGATACAATATGACAAAAAACTGCAGGTTAACTTAACAAAATACAACAGCACATAATGTGTTTTTAGCTCAGCACAAGGAACCCCCTTCAGTGACAGCTTTTTAATGCCACCTCCATTTGTTTGGATATTAACTCCCAATTTAGACTTCTATGAAGTTGTGGTTTGAGGAACTTTGCTTATTTTTGTCTTTGACTTTCAGCATCTTTCTGGAGAGCACTCTGGCTGCATAATTAGAATCAAACAGCTGTTACAGATTCTGGTTGATGAATATGGATCTCAATAAATCACATCACTCTTTCCCTATAAATAACTGACCTCATTCATTTCACATTCTTCTGCAAAGTGACCCTCATTGTTTTCCTCTTCCGTTAGGCTGTCTGACATCTCCACTCCCTTGGTCTTATATGTAGTCTATTTTCTAACGCATTATGAAGGGGAAAACCGGAGAGTTTTTGCCAAACAGTCTCAATGGAATGCAGTGGCAGATGCAAGTCTTTGTGACAAGTACAGTGCCTTACAAAAGTATTCAGCCCCTTTCACTGAAGCTGCATTTTTGCCAAAATTACAAATGATTTATACAAATGTTTAACTTTGTATAAATATTATTAATCAAAACATGAATGCTCAAACAGATCTGTTTTAAAAGTGGAAGAAGCTGAATGTCAGCAAAAAACTGCTCTGCAAAGACTGTATCGGAGACAAGTTAACTTGTTAAGTGTAAAATATTAGAGCTCTGTAGAGCTGCAGAAATGAGTGCTGGCGCTCCTTGTTCTAACTATATTTCTTACAGATCAGTGCATACAGTAGCTTTGCTTCACAATCACAGCAGCCACACTTTTCAGTAGCAATATTCAGCAAAATTTGAAACTTTTCCCAATGGATATAGATTAACCATCTTGGAGCAGCTTCCTATAACCTAGTAAACTGAACAGTGAACAGTGAACAGAACAAACTGTAAAATGAAACCTTAAATAAACCCTTGATTCAGTGGCCTTGAAAGAACTACAGGCCCACAGACTCTGTAGCTGAGCTTGAATGAAAACAGAGGTTTAGAGAAACGCTAAAGTCAGAAAGAAAATCAGAATTTTGAAAACGGTCACACTTCTTTAAAACCTTTGGAATTAAGATCTCTTTCTTGTGGACACCCTGTCTGAAATTTGTCATTCTAATTATTGCCATTATAATAAGAGGGCATGCTGTGCGTGAATCAGACTTAGACTGATGTGGTTGCTTTCTTTATTTCTTAAGATGTGAGCTGAGACAGGGAATGACTCCACAGCGATTTGGAGAAACCTGAAGGCTCACTCCCAGCTTGTCTTGCAAGCAGACACAAGCAGGCATCATGGAGATGCTTCCTACACTCCTCAGCCAGCAGCAGCCAAGCCAAAGTGTCTCCCAGCTACAGCATCAGCAGACTTCCGAGGACACTCTCGCACATGACCTCACTTTGAAGCCAAACTGAAATCACAGGCTCACCCATTTTAGATATTGTGGAAAAATAATATGTATATTAAATAAAGATCATAATGCAAAACAGGACTATATTCCTAAAGTGGAGAGGCCCCTCCACAGCCAGAAAACTGTCCCTCTGTGTGACAGTTAAACCGGAACAGGCCTGCAATATTCCTTGTTCTAGACCCTGGAGCCCAGACCACAGAAAAAAGTTCATTCCAAGTACCACAGACCAGACACATCAGTCATCAGGCCCTTCTCCGTCCCATGCCAGCAGAGTTCCACGGATATTACAAAGCTGCGGTGTTTACCTGCGTAGATGGTGTCTCCAGCATGTCCACCCTTGTGTGGGGATGTGAAGCTCAGCATAGTGTGCTATGCCCCAGTGCTCCCTACCTTAAATCACTCTTAACACTACACTACTGGAGCCCTTCCAGCACACTGGAGACAGCCCCTAGCCCTAATTCCACAGCCCCCCACCCCCAACACCCCTGGAGGCTACCATACAGCCTTTTAAAGCCCTTTTGTCTAACCACAGGCTTCCAGGCCTAAAGAAACACATTATGTCACTCAGACTATTTTTATCAGGGCAGAGGTCTGCGTGAGTGATGGACATTATCCACCTGTCTGCTGCTAAGACATGAGGGAAAAATACAACAAACTCTCAGCCAGGCTCCTCTTCTGACCACCCCCCCAGACTGACCCATTTGCCCTGGGCAGCCCTTGTCTCCCCCTCTCCCAAACCCAGATCCGGGGCAGCCGGCCTGGACAATCCGAGCTGCAGCTCCAGGGGGTGTGTGGTGGATGCTAGGACACAGATTCCACACTGCCCAGGGGTTGGACCCTCAGAAAACCTGACTGATGTGTTACCACGGTAAAAGTGTGGTAAAGCACAGAAGCCTCTAGTAAACAATAAAAAGTTTGGAAACCATGGCAAAGGGAAGCCTAGAAGAAAACTGTGACATTACAGGGCAGGTTTACTAAAATAAATGTTTGAAAGGAACAGCCAGTCAGGCTGCTGAAAACAGGGACACAGGGCCTCCTGTCGACAGAGAGCCAGGACTGACACCCAGCTGGGAGGTGTTTAACAACTAAACTGGGTCTGGATGAATTTTTACTATTTTTACCACATGTGTTATTTTTACCACAATAATCAGAGATCCTAATTTTTATAACATTTTACCATAGTTTGATCTATTTCAGATCTTGCGCGCCATGGAAAACTCTTTAAAGTATATACAGTAAACTTGAAACACCACAGGTATACTGTATCTATCAATATATCTATACTCTACGCAAGACGTCCCCTCTGCACACTATGCCTCACTGTCTTTAACAGGTGAGCACACACTATCTGCTTCCCAGATCTTTTATTGATTAATTTACGAGACATGTTTCATCACTGCGGTTGACAGAGGAGAGCAGCTGCAGCTTGCAGTGGTGTAATGAATCTCTCTGACAGGCCATCCCGCCCCTGGGCTCTGCTGTAGCCACTCGGCCTTTCTTTTCTGGGGCAGCTGTCTATCCAGGATCGTGCCCGTCACGGTACACAGTGATATAGGACATTCCCTTTCATTACACAGGTACAGTGTGGGGAGAAAGTAAGTACTGTACACCCCCGGGGGATTTTGTGGTTTCAAAGATTTAGACATATTTGACATTTACCTAATGGTCACCAAGTCCTAGTAGTAGATGCCTGTACAACTAAACTCATTTGATAAGTAACACACATAAATTATACTTTTGTATTATTTAAAAGAAACAGCCAGCATACAATATCTTTGTGTGAAAAGAAAGCAGACATTTAGTGCTACCACCTCGATTACGTATGTAGAGTGAGGCACGCCAAAACATGTGCAAATAATTAGTGGATCATTAGGAAGTGATTCCACCTGTATATCAAAATAATAAATTTATTAAAAATCTACAGATGGAGGAAATTGAAATTCTACCCAGAAGTGGACAAACATTCTCCAAGATCTGGCCATACAGTATGATGCTCCTAGAGGTCTCAAACCCCCAGGGATCTACAGGCTTCTCTCATGTTGGTAAATGTCACAGTTCATGATGCCACCATCCGGAAAAGACTGAATTAGAATGACTTTCATGGAAGGACAGCCGGGAGGAAGCCCCTGCTCTCCAAGAAGAACATTGCTGCATGAGTTTTTAGGCCATCATGGAAAATGTCATGTATAGGAAAAAACAAACACTGCCTTTGACCAGAAGGACCTCATGCCAACCATCAAGCTTGTCTGGGGTATCATAGTTTAGGTCTGTTTTGCTACATCAGGGCCTGGATGCCTTGCTAGCATTAGGTCTACCATGAATTCCACACTATACTACACTATTCTAGAGGAAACTGTGAGAGCACCAGTCCAGCAGCTGAAGCTGAACAGAAAGTGGATCATAGAACAGTACAATAACCAAAAAACACACAAGCAAATCTGTGATAGAATGGCTACTCAAAAAGAAGAAATTCAGGATATGGAAGTGACCAAGTCAAAGTCCAGACCTAAACCCCATAGAGGTATTGTGGCAAGTGTTTCTTGAGGGGGTGTACTTACCTTTTCAACGCGCCCAGCAGGCCACTAACAGGAGGAATCATGGGAATCGCAGTGGCCTGAGAGCCCCTGGCTCATCGAATTCAAAGATTTTGAACTGCATTCTATACGATTACGTATAGAACGCCACATTCTGCAATGAATCTTCCTACTCAGGGCTGCCCTCTCTCTCCCTGGCTTCTGAAACAAATACCCAGACATCCTACTCTAAACTCCTTGATCATGCTGGAGCAGGTGGTGACTCACTGCTGACTGCACCTGTCCCATTTACACTTCATTCACAAAGCCCTCCACACGGCAAACTCCTCTACTATCTTTGCATCATGTACCTTATTCTTTTTGGTGGCCTAGAGCACAAAAAAATGAATTTCTAATAAATGATCCAGTGGTGCACCCATCCGCAAAAACCTTATTCCTGATTGGGCCTAATCCATTTTCAGAAATCACTGAAATGTTTAGTTCTACCCCACATTAAAAGCTATAAAAAACAAGCAGTATGATATGGGTCCTTTCAAGCTCAGCCCCCTTTAACCATCATTAACTGTAATGATCTTGCATACCACAATGATAGAGTAGAGCTCTCTCATTTAAAACACCATGTAAAAAGTCAGCCACCACGTTATATAAAATATTACTGCTCTGAAATCCACCAAGACAAGAGCAAGCAGATACATTCTTGGATGTAAGAAAAAATATCCTACATTCACAGGTGAAGGAACTCAATCTCTTCAGTATTAAACAGACAAGACTACTACGACCAGCTCCAAGTATGCAAATTCCTCAAAGGGAGTGACAAAACTGATTCAGTAGATTTCTTCAGATTCAACAGTGAAATACAAATCAGTTAGACTGGCTGAATGGCCTCTCCCTTGTCAGCTTTCTTATGTTCTTATGTCCCTTACACAAGACTTTGTCTTCCATTTCATTTTGAAATTAAAAGAAAGGTTTACCAACGAAAGAACACATTTCACAGAGGTTAGTCACAGAGTGAAACTATGACTGGACAGTAGTCATAATCCAGAAACAACCTACAGTAGATCCTTGTTTAAAGCGCTGAAAACAGCTTTCTGTCAATGCAAATAAGATCGGACCTTCCTGTATGAAATATTTTGCCTTCTGTTTTCCAACACACTAGAAATCAGTTTTTTGTAGTAAAGTAACAGACCCAGCACATCTTTCTTAAATAAGTTTTGTGTTTGATTCCCCAATAATAACGGTAGTGGTAGTCCAGTCCGTCAGTGTTTGACGGTGTTTCGTCAAGTGATTAGATTGCAATGTCAGCCGGTCGTTATTTATAGCTCTGGCTCTGCAAAACGCCTCCAATACTATCTGCGAAAAAGCCTTTGAGAGGGTACACAGCGCTGGTCGCGTCGCTATCTGATACCAGACAGCAACTGGAAATACCTCTCTCGACTCTCCGAGAAACACTTGTGTTATCTGACTGAATCACACGGTAAATTTAGCCTCGTACTTAAGCACAGCGCTTAAACCACAGCGCTCACTTCCCGGGAGACTCGCTTCAGGAGCCGCGAGAGGCTTGCAAGCAGTTTGATGCACCAGGGCGCTCTGGTACCAGAACTAGCCCGGTCCACTGCGCTTCGTGATACCACGTTACCGGGATTCCCAAAGCGCATTCCTTCAGGGAACTTGCTTTAATTGGATAGCCCTTTTATCGTGTATTTAATTTAATTTTTCTGTTTTGGTTCCTAAACCGCACATGCACTAATATAAAAAAATATTTTTGACCACCCGTGTAACTCTTGAAAGGCATTGCGGATGTAAAGACACACCATGTAAGAGCTTCACAAGCTGTGCGTTTAAAATAGACCCTGGTCGTTGGGTCTTCATCTCAAGCCTCTGAAACTTTCATGTGTGATTTTATGTTTGTTATACATGTAGTATATACAGTGTTGAAATTAATTATGGACAAAGAGGGAAAAGTGGCTAAAAGTTGCAAATTAAACATGTTCAAAATTAAATTAAATGACACCTAATTTAGTGTTGCACTGGCCTCTATACTGTAGGAACAGTGCTTATATTCAATAATTTTTCATGTGCGGTGAGCGCAGTGGCTCCTGGGGAGGAAATCTAATAGTTCTTAATAATAATAGCTAATGACGGCTGCTCTTTTGACAGACTGCAGCTCAACATCACGGATTGCCCACTGCAGTGTGTTAGACTGAGGTGGTCAAGACTCAGTACCGCAAACAGTAGGAAAGAGGAGCCTTAGTATTCATTGAAAGGTACCACAATACCAAAGCAACAATAATCTACTGGTAAAATACTTAATCTGCACGGAGCTAATATGTTTTAGAAATAGATGTGTTAGTGTAACGTTTGTTTTAATTTACACACTCTTGTTGCTAAGGCTGCGCAGCCCCGGTAGCTGCAGTAGTCCGCTGAACTGCTTTCGAGAGCACGTGTCAGCGCCCTCTAGTGAAGGGAAAAGGGAATTCAGTTTCCTCAAAGCTTTCTCTTGTGCAGTCGAAGCAATAAGACCGTGAAGCAGAAGCTTTTAACTAAACAAGTAGGCTACTGAGGTAGACCAGGACCTGTGCTAATGAAAAACCTTAATGTAATTTATTAACAGCTGCCATCAAGTTCTGGTTTTCTAAAATCTTGTTAGTTTTTGGGACAGCATTGCGATTAAATCAAGACCTGCAGGGCTTTGACTACCACAGAGACAAGCCCTGCGACAGACTGGTCTACAGCAGGCTCGTGACTCGGTCCCTAAACCTGACTGAAAGACGAGGTGCTCTCGGCACAGACCTGCTGCTTGTTTCTTGTGTGCGTGTTGGGAACTGTAACTCCTTTAACCAGGAGTTACTGGTTAAAGGAGTGAACAGACCACAGACTGCCCGGTGTCTTCTCCCTGGGGCACCTAACACCAGTGGTGAGGAGCTCAGCATTCGGACGACACCTACTGGCTTGCTTGGCCTTGTCCATGTATGTGACGGTCAGCTCTTCGTCCACAGGGTTGTCCACTGGCCCCACCATTGGCACCAGCTGCCTGCTGCCCGACAGGAGGAGGGACACCCCTCGGGCGCGCTCAGGAGACACCAGCGGTGGCAGGGGGTTGGGTGGCTCCTGGAAGCCGCTGTCCACCTCCACAGCTCCCTGCCCATCCCGGGGGCTCTGGTCGTCCGTGCTGGCGGAGGAATTCTCTGCGGAGTTCCCGGCGTGGGGTGGCGTCTCCCCAGGGGGCTGCCACACACAGAAGCTGGTTTCCACGCGCCGGGGCTGGTAAGCCACCTCTTTCCTGGCCACCGCAGGCTGGGGCGCGGCGGAAGTCACCTGGGGCTTCGCCGGTGGGCTGTGCCCTGGGCCGGGGGTGGGCGGCTGGGGGCAGGCCTGTGTGTCGGGGGCGCTGTCGTAGCCACTCATCTCCGAGGTCTCCGCCGGCGACGCCTTGCCAGACGCCTTCCCCGGCGAGGAGCTGGGGCTGCGGCGCTTCTGGCGGCGCTGCTTCTCATGCGCAGTGTCCGCGTCGCTGTCGGTCTCGCCGTAGTAGGCCTCGCTGTCGGGCGGGGAGGTCAGGCAGTCCCGGTGGGCGCACTCCTCCGGCAGCGCCTCGGGGCCGCGGAGCGTGGGGGACATGAGTCTGGCGCGGGTGACCTCCGGCCCTGTGGGCTGCGGGGGCGACAGGGCGCGCAGGGCAGCCCGGTACTCCTTGTCGATCCGGGGAGAGGGGGCCCTGGGCACCAGAACCACGGACTGGAAGCCGGTCGGCGCCCTGTGGAGGACATCACAGCAACATGGCTTCTTCAGCAGTGAGCAGCGCACCCGGCCTGTTATATCAAGATTCAAGAGTACAGATCTGTCTACTGGGCACTGAGAGAAGGTTTACTGTCTCACTGGTTTCCCTTCCATGGTGAGTCTCACTCTCACCCACCCCCTGATTTTACTCTCACGGCCTGGATTCAGTTCTCATGCCTTGTGCTGGGCTGCCTCTTCTTCCACCACAAGCTCCCTCTCTGCTCTAGCTCCTCATACCCTCTCCTCCCAGCCTCTCTTCCCTTCCCTGGGAAATCAGTACGGCCCCATTGCTCATCTCCTGCTGCAGTCTCTTCATGACTCAGGCCTGCTGTCCATGGGGGCTTCTCACATCCTCACATCCTGGAGCTGTACTGCAATAGTGTCAGTCAGGAAGTCTAACTCAAGATCCGGGCTGAAACATTGCAGACCTGTTCTAGAAATGTAGTCTTACAATAATTCTTTACACTTATATAATTCTTTTCTGCACATTCCACAAAGTACAGGTAATGGAGACTCCCCTCCACCACCACCAATGTGCAGCCCCACCTGGATGATGCAACGGCAGCCATAGTGCGCCAGAACTCCTTCCACACACCAGCTAAAGGCTAGGGGGAAATTTGTCCCGGACACCGGAATTTACATCCCTACTCTTTTCACCTTTTTTACAGTACATTGTCCCCGTCACTGTACTTGGGCATTAGGACCCACACAGACTGCGGGGTGAGCGCGCCCTACTGGTCCAGCTAAACCTCTTGCAGCAGGAGACTTAGTTTTTCCCAGCACCTGCATAGCTTCAGTGGATTACCTGCTGTGAGTTGCAGAGTGATATAGCTGCTGGCTATCATTTGTAATTTTGTAATTTCACAGCACTATGAACAGTTGTTCATTGTTAATAATTTTTGAACTTACACTCCTTTTGCAAGCTAACCATATAAGACTGAAACTTGCCATGGGTAGAGCTGTACAGTCACAGTGATAATAACAGCCGAGCAGTCCTTACCTCTTGACCCGGATGTGTAGCACTCCTGGACAGCTGTCAATCAGGTTCATGGCCTGGGCATGTGACAGCCCTCCACAGGGCTTCTCGTTGATTGATAGCAGCTCATCCCCCTCACACAGACCCGCCCGGCAGGCCTTGCTGCGCTTCCTCACCTGTGCCAGTAGGGGGAGACACATACAGTGCACAATCCCTGTTAGACAAGGGCAACATACTGTATAATGTTGGCGATATTCTTGAAGTGAGTATTGTCATGATACATTTACAGCTTAGTTTTCCTAAATGCAATTAATCTACTCAGCTGCCTTCTCAGTCCAATCCAAAATGGACAGATAGTGGGCTCTAATCAGCTTCTCAATTATTTCATAATTATCAGGATCAATGAATGTGCTGGTTATATAAAGAATCAGTTAAATTGGTCAGGACTAAGCGTACCTAGAGTTCTGGGGTAGAAGTTCAATTAGGTATAGTGTGCACAAGTCCTCAGGTAACCTGGGAGATTCAGGAGACACTTTCTGGCTTGCTGATCCTGTCTCTATCCCTGTTACCACTTGGGGAATTCTGCATTGTTTTCCTGGAAATACCAGGGCCTCCGCACTTTCGTTGCCCCTGCCTGTGGAGTCTTACAATCAAAATGGAAGAATCACCTTTAGGTAGGCATTAAAGTTAATTACGTTGCCAAGCCACTTTTAATTACATACCACAACACTGTCACTGAGACCAGCTTAAAACCCGCACATCTGACAGAGACAAAATGTTAGCGGACCCATAAAACTAGTGAGACATTCCTGCATAGTGGAGTATGAAGTCAGATGTTTCTAGCTGTAGGAGTTGCTCAGCTGCATCTGTTACAGTCCTGAAATAAAACATTTCCACAGGGGTTTTGCTTTGAAAGCCAGAGAGAAGGAGGCAGAAAGCTTGCTTTGCCCTCTATATACAGACTCTCCAGAGACACTAACAAATGGCTTTGTGTGGAATCCTCGAGTGTGCTGAATGTAAGATGTGCAAATCCTAGCACTATCACCAAGGCACATTGCAATGACATGACACAGTAATTCATTTCAAGCTTCTTTCAGTTGAATAAAATCAATTCAACCACATTTGTTTTCAGTAAGGCACGCTGTTCCCTGTTCCTTACCATTAACCACTGTATCAGCCTATATCACACTATATCAAAGTGTCTCAGCTCTAACAACTTGTCTCCCTGTCTCACTGCTTCATTTCTAAACTTTAGTCCTTACTGCGTCCCTCTCTTAGTTGTTCATTTCTAATCTCAATCCACACTGCCTTCATCTCATCATTACTAACCTCTAACACTCACTGCCTCCCTCTCTCATTTCCTTAGGTATAACTTCTAATCCTCGCTGCCTGCCTCTAATTACTCATCAGTTCACTAGCCCACACTGCCCCCTAGTGTCCTGGTCCGAGCTGGTTGTCGGAATAAGAAGTGGTCCCATCCTATACCATCAGGATCTCCTAAAAAGGCCCTTGGCCAAGAGCAACAGTGACTGGCTGTATATTTGTATATTGACAGCCCTACAGGTTCACACTACACATTGGTCCCAGAGCTGTTTTGTTTCAGCCACAGATTTGTTTCAGGAACACATCGTTCCAGATGCTAAAATACTGGAGACAAGTACGTTTTCATTAAAGGGCTGGAACATTTGTGCAAATCTGGAGGACCTCCTCATGAGAGACAATTAATAGATGTTCTGAAAAAAAAGATATTCTGTACAACTAATAGCATCTTTAAAACTATGAAACTTTGTTTGTTACCACCTTTAGTGGTTTTAGACTACAAATGAGTTAAATAATTTCTAACTTAGTCGAGGACACTCCTTTATTACTATTGTCTTGTACAATACAGATTCAGTTTTATATAGTGTCAGCAAATGATACCATCAACAATTCACTTTAGAATGTAGGAGTATGTAATTCCTAATTTATTGCAGAAGCTTTGAAATCAATTCAAAAACTTACTGGTAACCAATCCAGCTGACTGTACACATGGGTACTACTGTTCAGAAAGATGTTTGAATAAGTTATCTAGCAGGAGTCTAGGTGACAACGACTTCTTTGCTTACTATATCCTCATGACATTTTACGGGGTTCTGTCTACTGTTTGTTGTCTTCAGATATTCACAAGCACACATCTAGAGTCCATCACTTCAGATTCTAGGCTGGAGGTGTAATTTTAGAGAACCTCATGACATATACAGTAGCCAGCGTGATGAGAGAGACACATGTTCAAATTCTGTAAAAATCATATTTCCTGGCAGTATCTTTTCAGCGTTGTTAAATCTGCAGCAGTGGAATGTTTCTCTCACTTGGTTTTAATGTTTATCCCTACTCCAGTACTCCAGGGAGTCAGCCTTGATCTTTATTTTAACTTAAAATCTCAGGGACCTGTCACCTACTGTACATGCAGTAACAGCTGAGTATGTACTTTATGTTTACACTTTAATTTATTTTCCCTATAAACCCCCAAATTTCAGAGCTTCTTCAAAATTAGCAATTCCTAGCACAAACTGGTTAGAGCAGAGCCTGCTGGTGCTAGAACTGATAAACTACACCTGCCACAAAACCAAGCGTGTGCGAGAGAGAGTGGAGGGGAAGATAACAATAATGGTACGGTCAGAGTTGACAGGAATGAAAGGAAGAGCAGCACAGCCGATCACTCTGACAAAGGGAGTCGACATGGGCATGTTATCAAGACGGACAAGAAGAGAGAGATAAGGGGACTGTCCTGGCCTGTGAGGAACGCCACGGGGCACGCCATTTCCTGTCTCTGAATGGAGCAGCCATGTGCCGACATGACAGCACCAAGGTGTCACAGACAGTGAACACGTACCATCACTCGGCCTCTGCCCTCACACCCACTCCCTCGGCACATACTGCACCACCAACTCATGACCACAGAGCAGCAGGGCAAATTCCAGCTCTTGCACTGACTGTGGGTGTCTTCATTCAATTATTAACCTCCTCACTGGAAATATTTCCAATTATTAGTTTTTACAGATTGTTACGAAAGAGGCTGTCCGTAACCTAACCGGAGCCGTAATCCTAGAATCTAGAATCCGAAAGTAAAAATTCGTCCTAAGCCAGGAAGGTACACAAGAAGAAGTAAACACTAACCGGGAGAAAAGTTCGACAGGTTAACGCAATACTGAATGATGTGGCAAAGGTAAGTTGTTCTAAAATACCGTGAGAGGAAACGGTGTGTCGGAAAATAAGTGAACCAATAGATAAGCTGATTTGGTGTGGTCTACGCCTTCTTCTAAGGCTTGACCAGGAGGCCGGGGTCGTAACACAGATATTTTTAATTTCCTTTACAATGGCGATCTGCAGGAAAGTTGAATAAGATCCAGCAGCTGTAGGCTGCTAGCACCAAAAGCTGTAATTAAAATTAAAGCTGTTCTCGCATAATAGCCCGTATGGGACATTAGCCAGCTGCTCAAATGCTCAAGCCAATCAATTATTTGAAATACTTGACTGACTTAAGGCCATGAGATCGTGATGCCTTTCAAACCACACCAGGAACAGACCTCAACTGCCGGGTATGCTCCATCTTCCCAATACACCGTATGGTATAAGGCGGTTTGGCAAATGACATGACATGACTATATAGTAGACTATTGCTTTCAAAATTGTTATGTTAAAAAACTGGGGTTAAAAAAATACAGAAAAATAAAGAGCAGTATTATCAATAATTAAAAATATCTATAACCCCTAGTTGTTAAAGATATGCCAAGAATATGTCCAAGTGTTTGTTATAGTTTGTGGGCCCATCAGTTATTTATTTTCTGGCACAGCTCTGGCAAAGGAGTAGATAATCAGAGGTAAACTAGGATAAATAAATATTTTTTTATAATAACACATAATATACAAGCTACTCTATTTACAAAACAAGGCATCTCAGAGGCCTAGTGTATGTCCTGACATCCCCATAAACCCAGACTGCTACAGTAACTCAGTACTCAGAAATCCTACAGTACGTAATGCCTAAACAGGCCAATAAGACAGTTAATCCTGTGCTGTAAATAAACCAAGAACTAAATCTCTCTTGCTATAAATCCAGATGCTCCAAAGTAAACTGGAATCCATCTCCCTATTTTAAATATGCATCACTAAACTGGAGAAAATGTCTTTAGCCTGGGGATTCCTCATTCCTCATGAAAGAAATCACTGAACATTGTCTCTCAAACCATCTATTGATCTGTAAACACCTCAGTTCCTAATCATTGCTTCGAAAGGGCAAATGTTGGCTTTTTATGATACTTACTAGCCATAAAATTATGGTAATATACAATATTGTAGACATTATATTTTATTTCAGTTATCCAACATGCAAAAACTGGTTTATTTTTTCTTAGATCAGCATAAATCCCCTGCATCTCCACACTCCTGATCCAATCAGTTACACCAGACGAACAGTGACCAATTTTCTCAGCTATGAGCAATTTCTCAGCTCAGAGCTTAGTGAAGTTCTCAGGTACAGCTCTTTACACTCTTTTGTTTCAGTTTTGGGACATTTTAAACCACTACCCTATCTCAGAATGTGCTGGGATTATGGGACCATATGGTCAGGATAGCTATAATGTGCCTCCTCCCCCACACACACACACCTGTGCTGAGCCATGACAGAAAACAAATTCAGCCAAACGCAACTCAGATAAACCCCTTGTGGGAGACAGGTGGTAATCTCTTTAAAAGGGGATGCAAAATCTATTTTTTACAACAGAAAAAATATGTGGATGTCAGATGGAGTGCACAAGGACGGCAGTGGTTGAAACAAACAGCCTGTACACAAAGAGATCCAGGGTCTGCATATGGTATGTCTGAAGCTGGGAAAAAAGTGATCAGGACAGGCTTTCTGAAACAGAGCACTGTTGTTGTGGGTGCATAGCAGTGGTTAATGGACTGTTGTAATGATAAGGGCTCTATCTAAGAACCTAGACACTGGCTGGCTCTGTAGCTCATGTTTTTGTATTATTTATTTAATCAGTATAGTTCAGAACAATTTCTCATTGACAGTTACCATTGATCACCACCAAACTGCAGTGTTTCCATTTGTACAGCACAGAACTTAGGAAGAAATGTAAGTGAAGTGCCATGCTCAAGGGTGCAACAAGTGGCGTCCGACCTGGGATTGGAGTCCATTATTCTCCAACCTTCTGCCCGTAGCCCTAACCATTATAATTACACTTCTGTTGGTGACCTGCTATTTTTTTAAAGCAGGCAAAGAGGAGAAGAGTGTCAGGGTTCTGTAGGACTGGGAGCTCAGCTGATCTACTCCAGGTGTCAGTAGCACTACTGAAATGTTGGAGAGACAAAGTCCAGCTGGAAGCAAAAGCCTTCCTTGACCTTAAGAGAGACTCTTGCGCTTGGCTGCTGCAAGACTCACTGCCCCCGGAATAGCACGCTGATCAGAGAATACGCATTTCACACAGTCAACACTTCTGCGTTTCGGAGGAGTGCGTATATTTACTGTACATGTATTAATATTCTATCCTGGGAGAGGATATGCTGAAGAGGAGATAGGAATCCTAAGAAATATTTGTGTAGTGAGGGCTGCCAAAATAATTAATGTAGAGAAGAACCTCCTCTCTTACAGGCTTCCCTTATGGGTTTGTTCCTTTGTTCTGGATATGCAGGGTGTGTTCTGGGGCTGTGGATTTTTTTCTGGAGCTCTGGACTGTGTCCTGGAGATCTGGACTGTGTTCTGGATGTTTGGTCTATGTTCTGCAGCTCTTGACTTTGTTCTGAAGCTGTGGACTTTGGTCTGAAGCTGTGGACTGTGTTCTGGGGGTGTAAGTTGTGTTCTGGGGCTCCAGACTATCTTTAGGAGGTGTGAGCTGTGTTCTGAAGTACTGGGGTTGTGTTTAGGAGGATCTCTATACTGTGTTCCAGAGGTTTGTTCTGGAGATCTCAATTTTTCCTTGGATCTCTGGGTTGTGTGTCAGAGCTTGGGATTGTGCTTTGGTGATTTAGGCTTTGTGGATGATTTCTTCTGTATAATTCTACATTTGGTCAAAATTCTAAAGTTATAGCAACCTATTCCCATCCTTCCACTTGTTTTAATTGGAGCAAGTGAAGCAGATCTTTAATCATAAGGGTTTTGCTCAAAGGTGGGTTCAAACAAGTAACTGAAAGCTCAATGGGAGGATAAAAGCATATGATCCCAGAGTGTCAAGAACCAGTGGTGGAGGACCCTGGATGGAGATCTATAACATGGGTCCCCAATCCTGGTTCTAGAGAGCCCAATGCTCCTGCTTTCAAGGTCTCTTTAAGGCAGCAGCACCTGAAGAGCTGGGAGAAGCTGTTAAACCGGTCCAGTAAGCACAATAATGAACTGTTTGTGAAATTCCAGCTAGATTGAAAAACATACAGTACCAGCCCTCCACGTCCAGGAATGGGGACCTCTGGTTTATAATGACTCACTCCTGCAAGTTGAAACCAGACATGTTACAGCCATTTAGCAAGAAGTTGAAATCGTGGCTGACTTCCAGGGGTTTCTGCGTTCATCAGACTCTAAAAGCACAGGATTAGTTCCAGCGGCAGGTTGTAATTTTATTCCAACCTTTTTTTAAAACCTGGAAGTATAATTTTTCTATTAGCATTATTTTAGATCAGATGCTGGTGTAACAATGACATCTGATCTTGTTTAAGTGAGAGGATTGGTATGCAGTGTTTATTATATTAACTGGGTACTGCAGTTATTACTATGTTCTGCTAAAGGTCATTAAAGAATATTACAATCTAACAATCTGTATTTCTGCCTATTTACATCTATCCTGCTGTATATGATATAATTAGCAGAGATTAAAAAAGAATGCATTTTGGTGTTTTAAGAAGAAGGCTGCATTTTAGATGATGGTGACATGGTAATGATTAATATGTTATTATTCTGTGGATGTATGATCTGAAATGTGCTCTGCTGTGTGGGCAACACTTTCATCATCACGTTCATAGCAGAGAAAATGATAGGTACTGATTTCACACGGTTATGCACATTCCACTCCTGTTTTATTATTTAATCCTTTATTTAACCAGATAAGTCAATTGAGAGCAAACCCTCATCTACAGTGACAACACTCTCTGTCAGCAGGATGAGTATTGTAAAACCACGTCACCATTAGGTAAAACTAGTCTCTCATGCTCCAGCCTTAACCCAGCTCATCAGATCACGTTCCCTGTTAGTGAGTGACTAATGATAGGAAGAGACTGAAAAGCAATTTGCTGGGAACATTTGGCCATTACAAACCTCGCACCTCTGTGATAACTGTTTCTTACAACTGTCTTTATGACCAAAGGTTTTTAGAAGCAAAAATTATTTTGATAAACTTCAACTATCTCTTTTATTAACATTTATGTCAGTGGAACAAGATGTTTTACACCACTCTGAGGTAAAGGTTTGATTTTGTGTGTAGATTTGTGTTATTCAAGAGTCCTTGAATGGTTTGTTATTTCCTATTCATTTTGGAAGGGTTTTGTGACTTGCTCTTCCAAACAGGGGCTCTTCAAGGTAAATCTGCAAGCTAAAATTCTGAAGTGGGGTAAAACTGATCTTACAAATGCCCCAAATTTAAAGGCCATACCTACAAAATTAAGATAAAACATAATATCAGATAGGCCCTTTGTTAAATTATCACAGTAAGAGAGGAAAAAGAACTCAGTATGTCCATTGAAAAACCTGGTTTGGAGAGAGCAGGTCAGATTCGATTAAAACAGTCCACAGATTTGTCTAACAAGCTCTGAGGGGAGGCAGGGTTCAGACAGAGGTCGGAGGACAGCTCATGTGCTAGAAGGGTTCGCTGGGAGACGGTGACCTTTGTCATTCTAGACCTGGACTGGGCGCCAGTAGATGGAAGAGTCAGCCGCCCTGCAAGTGATAACACTGTTCTGGGGATGAAATCACAGAGAGGACCCTCCTGGCTTTCCGCCTCAACACAGAGCCACACTGCACTTCTTAAAGAAGCCACTTCATCACTGGGAAGTACAACTGTTCACTCTGCTCCTTAACAACTCCTGGGTCCTGAGTTCGATTCTGGACTGGAACACATTCTGTGTGGAGTCTGCATGTTCTCCTGTGCTTGTGTGGGTGTCTTCTCACCTTGCAAAGACATGCTGTCTAGCTTACTCAGTGTCTGCGTGTGGATGTGTGCCCCACAATGAATTAGCATCCTGTCCCGACATTCACACTGTTCTTCCTGGAAGAGGAACAAGTGGCTTTCTGCTTGTGAATGGGGCGATAGAACTCATCAGCATAATTTAAACTTTCGTATTGTAGATTAAACAGGAATGTCTGCACTTCTTTCATGAAATAGCCATCTCAGTTTTTCAGAGAACTATCTGACGATTGTTCAAGGCATGGCAGCTGAAGCCCATTAAATTCAGACCTATTTCAGACAGACATTGTTAGAATTACAGAGGTGTCTGCAGCAGTTTGTGAAAGAGGAAGGAGCTGCATATTACAAAATGCAAAAGGCAAAAGAGGTTCAAGTGTTTTATAACCCATTAGGCGCATGCATCACCATAAAATGTGTAATGTATCAGTTGCATCTATCCATCCATTTTCTAAATTGCTTTATCCAGCACAGGGATCTGGGGGCGTCCGGAGCCTATGTCGGCAAGCAACGGGCACTAGGTGGGATACACCCTGGACAGAATGCCAGTTTATCGCAGGTCAGAGACACAGAAACAAAATCACACACATTCACACCAGTGCCAGTTTTCCAAGAAGCAAATTAATCTACCAGCATGTTTTTGGACTAAGGGAGAAAACCTGAGCACCCAGAGGAAACCCATGAAAACACAGGGAGGACATGCGAACTCAACACAGATAACGCCCTAGTGCTGCAATGCAGCGGTGCTAACCTCTACACCAGCACGCGTCCCCTATTTGATGCATATAAATAAAAGGTCACATGTTAGAAATTCTTTTGTTGAAATGGTTGTGTAATGCACATTATTTTTTATTGAATAAGGTACAAGATATTTTCTCTGCTCTGCCAATCTGTGCTTTATTGACACTCGACCTGACTGCTTTCTATCTGCACTGCTGTCCTGCAGGTACAAACACTGCTCTGACACACACGAGCCTCCCTATGGAACTTTACAACAGCATGTTTGCTCTCCTAGGGTATGTCCTTTACCTGGTAAATCTCCAAATTCCATCGTTGGCTCTGAAAAACGTGTGACTGTCAAAATTCTGACTTTACCAGGTCACCACATTAATAATACAGATGATGGCTGGCTGTAATTGCTGTCAATAAGGCAAGATAATAATCACCTTCTGGCCTGAGGGATTGAAAATCAACCACAAAGAGCTTTTCACCTGACTTCTTAGCCCCTAGCATGTTAGCTAAGTTACTAAAGCCTTACTGATGTTACAGCTAAGTGTAGAGAAATATTTGCTGTTATTATTGCCAATCTCTCTTAATGCCATTTTCTAAATAAATATCTTCATATTTTCACATTGGAAACCATGCTGCATCATATACTGTATGAAGTCAATGACCCTGATCCTTTTAATTTAAGCTTATTATAAAAGATAAGATGCCTCACCAGGGTATATTATTTTAGCTTTTTGTGCTAATGTCTCCCAGCAGACCACTGCAGGTCTCATGGCCTCAGCTCGCCTGGCCACACTCACTGCCCAACAAGGACTTGGTGTCTGGAGCAACGACGCACAAGCTAAAGACCTGGACCAGCCAAAGGAACCAGAAGAACCAGCCGATCGTGTCCGTGCAAAGATACTTCGAAATTGAAAAACAAATCTCGCTGCAGAAATGAGAGGTGCCTCCACTCCACCAACTTCTCTCTCCCACAGCCTCCTACCTTGGCCACCAGGAGCGGCTTCCTGTGATCGGCGCCCCCCTGCAGCCGAAAGCCCCACGGCGCTCCCCCGGACAAAGTGATCACCGCCTCCTCGACCACCATCACTGCCCCGTCTCGCCTGCCCCTGTGTGTTTCTCCGTCTGCGTGCAGGCGTCCTCAGTGCTGGCGTGCCATTTCTAATCGTGGGGGGTCTCTTGGTGACCCAGCTGTACTCTGGCTGTACTCGGGTCTGTACCCCAGGCTCTGGGCTGGCACACGGCTTGAGCCTCTCTCTGTGCAGAGGGCTGGGAGAGTTAAAATAGAGAGCAGCTCAGACAAGAGCTGTTAACACTTTGGAATGCTGTGCTGCCTTGGGGGGGGAGTGACAAAGCCCCCCCCCCCACCCCTTAACGGCCACACTTGCCCTGTCAATCTGTCCTCTGGTCCTCTGCACTGATAGCTGCTCCAAAAATAGCCCAGCTCCCCGACACTGCTTTGTCTCAGCCCTTCCCAACCTGCAGCTGAAAGAGGGGGGCTATTTTAAGGACGTGATTCTTTTGAGGACTGTCAGGCACAGTAGAACAGCAATGCACGAAGAGATTAAGAAAGACTGGAAAAAACCTCAGTAGTCAGATAAACTTAAATGCCATAAAGAGTCTGGATTAGTTTGGCTGCAGAGACAATGATGTTGAAGCTGGTACAACGGCATATTTCAGGAAACAACTGATTGAGATCCTTAGATCATCCGTCAATTTTCTAACTGCTTTATCCAATTCAGGGTCATAGGGTAGTCCGAGCCTGATCTGGCATGCAACGGGCACATCAGGGATGGGCAGAATACACTCTGGACAGGATACCAGTCCATCACAGAGCACACAGACAAAAACACAGACCAACACACATATACTCACACGATGACCAATTTTCCCAGAAGCCACTTAACCTACCTGCATGTCTTTGGAGGTTGGGAGAAAAGAGGAGCCCTGGGACCCACAAGAACACAGGGAGAATATACAAAACCCACATGTTAATAGAACCACTGTGCCACTAAGCTGCCCATCCTCAGATCAATTGGCTACAGTTTACCGAGGCTGAGTGGACTAATGGAACCTTTCCTTTTTATTTCTTATGTCTTCAGGCAGTGCAGACTGGGTCCCACCAGAGTAGGCATGTCTGCCTGCTCTGTTACAGCACCAGGAACCCCGAGCTGCTTCCAGGTACAGAACAGTGAGAGTCTGGAGTCCACACAGACACAAAAAGAAAGAGACAATGGTGAAGTGTGATCTTCTATTACAGACCAGGATTACACAAAATGGAACAAACGCCCTATGGAAGTACCTTCACCGAGAGTTATGTAAAACCATTATCTAGGTGTGAAAAAAAAACACCCAATGAAGTGCAGGACAGAAAATAGCAATAAAATATTGGCTACACTTAAAAATAGTAACCAGAGCTCCTACTGTACCACCACAAGGCCCTGTTGAGCACAGAAAAGAGCCCCCTCAGCCAGTTGGTCTTAAAACTCACTGCCCGGAGCCACATTGACACCAGCCAGCCTCAGGACAGTACAGCTAATACACTACAAATCAGAGTCAACCCGATCATAGCACAAGTCAAAAAATACTACCTCACCCACAACACAAACTGGAATGCTCCCATGATTAAAAGATGATAAACACTACCCAAATATGTTAATCTGACAAATTACAAATTCAGTAACCCCAACCTGATCATAGAAACTAGACAACATAGACAGACATGGCTGCCTAGAGAGAAAAGGCTTAGTGACCACAGCCTGGACATAGAAACTGGATACAGACAGACCTGGCTGTGCAGAGAGGACAGGCTTGGTGACCACAGCCTGGGCATAAAAACTGGGCACAGACTGACCTGGCTGCCCAGAGAGCAAAGGGTTAGTGACCACAGCCTGGACGTAGGAACTGGACACAGACACAGACCTGGCTGTGCAGAGAGGACAGGCTCAGCAACCACAGCCTGGACATAGAAACTGGACACAGACAGACCTGGCTGCCCAGAGAGGACAGGCTCAGTGGCCACAGCCTGGACATAGAAACTGGACACAGACAGACCTGGCTGTCCAGAGAGGACAGGCTCAGTGACTATAGCCTGGGCATAGAAACTGGGCACAGACTGACCTGGCTGTCCAGAGAGGACAGGCTCAATGTCCTATTATATTGACTTATAAATGTATAAATACACAATTTTTAAAGTTAATATTTATAATCATAACAGGAATGCTCAAACTGAACTCTTTCATGGGGGAATCTGAAGGGGGGTTAAATGTTAGCAAAACCAGAAGATGTCAATATTTGTGCTTAATACAGTGTAGTAGCAGAGAGACTTGAGACTTTTCAATATTGTGTGTCACTGAAAGTTGTGGTTTGTTTGGTTGGGTTTAATCCTGATGTATTTTAAGTTGTTTTATTTTGGATAATAAGATGCATATACATAGGTATACAGCACATTCTTATCCTTAATATTTAAGATGGAATATAAATAATAGAAATATATAGAAATATTATCACATGCTGATTTTGGTTTATTTATTGTGCTGTAAATCAGACCCCCCTGGTGCAGGATCAGTGGTGTTCACCAGACAAAATGATTTTTGCCTTGCTGGGAGGAGGGCAGCTGCCATGGCGACGAGTGCTCAGTCAGCCCCTGCTGGCAGGGGACAAGAGGAATAGAAGGCCGATGCCAGCTGGTGTGAGTGGACTCAGAGTGGAGGGCTGTGACATGGGGCCTCCTGAGGGGCAGCAACTAGATTTTACCTGAAAGGGTGCAGTTACTTCACCCGGTGAATTAAACTTCTGGACTTGGAGAGGAGTGAGCACATTTTGAGGAATCATACATACAGTAACATATGATCACTTTATTGGCCATGTCCAATGTCTTGTATTAGGAAATTGTCTTTTCGCAAACCCCAGCTTGCTCTCCATGAGACACACAGACAGGGAGAGAAGCTGGGGGTCAGAGCGCAGGGTAAGCCATGTATACAGCACTCCTGGAGCAGTTAGAATTAAGGGCTTTGCTCAGGGGCCCAACAGAGTTGGATTCCTCTGCCAGCCTTGGTGGCCACTGCACCACCCCACCTGGCTCGGAACAGGTTTTATTGGAGACGGGGGTTGGAGATGGTATTGCTGGGGTTGAGCTCGTTTTCCTGGGATACTCTGTGCTGCCTCCAACTGGCTGACAAAGGCATGACTGTATTCATAAGGGTTTTAAAGCAGACTGTTTACTACCATTCCATCTAAAAGGAATAAAATACATCCATTCATTTTCTCACTGTATTCTCCCAATTCAGGGTCACGGGGGAGCCAGAGCAGGAGCCTAGCAAGCCAAGCAAGAAGTAGAACACACATGAGTATCTCATTCTGAACTAATGTAGCTTCTGTGGACATTCATAGCCTTAAGAAACAAAATAATGCTAAACCTAATTTGTACAAAACACTTTGTGAATATAGGACACAGCTATGCAGCTCACAGATATTTCATTGCATCTCACTAACAGTGTTTAAACACAATTTTTCCTGCTGCTTTCATTAACTGGGGAACGGTTTTGTAAATAGTCAGTAGAGGGTTGGGCCTAGGTAACGTCTGATGACACCAAGCTGTTGCTCTGTGGCCACATTCCCCAGACTCCTGGGACAGATTGTGCATCAGCTTTGAAGGAGGAGCCACACCCCCAGCCCAGCAACACTTCAGTAGGGCAGAACAGCAGGGGGCGCTCACTCTGAGGTCCATGCCCCACTATAGTGATAGGGACACTATACTGTAAACAGGTGCCATCCTTTGGACATAAAACCGAGGTCCTGACTCTCTGTGGGCGTTTCTCGAAAAGAGTAGGGGTGTAATTTGGTGTGGCCAAATTTCCTGTTGAACCTTACCAATCATGGCTTCCTAATAATCCCCATCTATGAATTGGCTTAATCACAGCCCACTCAGTATTGATGGAACGGAAGTGGAAACAGTCACCAGCTTTAGGTTTTTGGGAATTCACATCTCTAAAGATCTAACCTGGACTGTGAACACTGACTCTATCGTGAAGAAGGCTCAGCAGCGCCTTTATTTCTTGAGGTGCCTCAAGCGATGGGGGATGCCAATACATGTGTTGGTGAACTTCTACCGCTGCACTATCGAGAGCGTCCTCACCAACGGGATCACCGTGTGGTATGGCAACACCTCTTCGCGAGAAAGAAAAGCACTGCAGAGAATGGTCAATATGGCCCAGAAGATCATCGGCTGCGGTCTCACCGAGATTAAACAGCTCTATGAGGACCGCTGCCGTGGTAGAATTCTGGCCATCACAGAGGACAGTCACCACCCAGGGCATGAGCTCTTCACCCCACTGCCCTCAGGCAAGAGATATAAGAGCATACGGACACTTACCACTAGATTCTTCAATAGCTTCTATCCACAAGCAGTGAGACTGGCGAACACATTTAGCCATCCCCCTCGGACCACACCTACACCATCACCATCTACCTCATTGTAATTTATTAATTGTACGTCTCCAGTCATTGTTTACACGTCTGTATTATTTACATTCAAACTGTCTGCATGTTTACTTGCACATTGTCTATTGTTTGTTTGTACATTGCCTTGATGCACTGTTTGCACTTTGTTTTGTTTTTTACACTTGTTTTATAATCGAGAGACTTTCTGTAAGTAAGAATTCCATTGTACCAGTACCGGTTACATATGGCAATAAAGTTCAAGTTCAAGTTCAAGTTCATTCTGCTCTCCTCCCCACTAATGCGTTCTGGTGCACTATGGCTGACATTACATCATCCAGGTGGATGCTGCACATTGGTGGTGGTGGAGGGGAGTCCCCATTACCTGTAAAGTGCTTTGAGTGGAGAGTCCAGAAAAATGCTATATAAGTGTAAGCAATTATTATAATTAATAAATCTCTTTAAAAGACACAGCCGAAAATACAAGTGATAGAGATGAATCCCCAGCACCCCTGTGGTCATCTGCTGTTTTTGATTCCCTCTCCCATTCCAAAATAAGCACTGTCTCTGTCCCCCGATGTAGCTTAACTTGCATACTCAATGAAGTGTCCTTATTCCTTGTCCCAAAAATCAATTACTGAGTTCCTGTGTGACATCAGAAAATAGTTTTTTACTCAGATTTGTGTGTACAAATGGACGCAAGCTGAAACTATGTGGAAGTGCATTTAAAACTGGGAGCAGATCAATTATCTACTAACTACCAATCAAGTTCAATGGGCCAAATGACTTCCTCTTGTTTATTGCCTTTCTTGTGTTCAGATGTATGGTATTACAACTGGATACCTGGGAGCCAGGAGAAGCTGGAGTCCAGTCCTGGTCTTGGAGACCCAGAATTTGTTGTAGCTTTTGCTGGAAACCAAGAACCACATGACACACGTCCTTTTATATAATGTATCAAGCTGCGATTGAATTGTATTATTATAAAGGTATATAAAATAAAGATATATTAAACATTTGGTAGTACCACATAGATTTCCGTTCCAACTATAAATGGAACATTTATAGTTCTTGGTACAAATGTATAGGTGGTTTGTACTGCCTGTTTTTGCCGCCGGTTCTAATCTCTGCGAGATTTGATCAGGTTGCACCTCGAAACCTGTTTTATCAGGAGAGATTCTTTAACTTTCCGCCTACGTTTCTTCCTTTCTCCGGGTGGGAAAATACTGACCTTCTTACCCATAACAAACTCACCGCAACTCAATTGTGGAACTACAAGATTTCAGAATCAGGCTTTGGCGGTATATGACTGAATTTCTCTATTTGGTTAGTTCTTTGTTAAGCACATTGCTATCTCTCTCCCCAAGCCTAAAGTTTGCATAGAAACAGAGGACGCGAAACCCCAGTATCTCCGCTGGTGACGGTGTGCGAGTGCGCCGGCGCAGCATCCGGGTGCAGACGTGGCAGACAACGGCGGAGCTTCCGGTGTGCGTGTGTCCGCGAAGGAGAAACCGAGGTAGGGATTATCAGTGATCTCACTCTGGGTCGAGTGGAACCTAGGAAAACAAATTCGGCTTGATAAAACTAGATACATCCCGAAGCCGAGCCACGACGAGGGACAGCGCAGTCTGCTGGGCTTGTTAGCCACGCCATTGAACCCGCTGGAGGTGGGTGCGGAAGTCTCTCTCTGACGATTCCCTAGAAAAAATAAAGGGATAGCAGCACTATCAGCTCCGGTGATTCCCCGTGTGTCACTGTGCAACCCAGTGGGTAGGCCCGACTGTGAACCGGAGGGAGGTTTCTCCCCATACAGTAACCGTAGACCCGCTAGCTGGGCCGTGCATAGTGAATTTCACCCTACCAGTGTGATCCTAGAACTTAACTGGCTATTCGCCTCAGGCTGGTCGTGTTTTGGTACACAATATTTGGGGCAAAATACAGTTTGTCATGTAACCGGTGTATGTTACTTATTAACAGTTTTTGACTTCAGATTAATGTCTTGCGAGCTGGCATTGAACGCATGAACTTTCTAAACGTAGGCGATTAAACCGCATTTGTAAATTTGAAGGGAAGAGATAAACTGTTAGACATTGCCTTTAACGGGTGTGTATACACGGCGTTGGAAATGGGTCATTCTGCAGGCCTGTTGGGAAACAAGCTGTACTACCACCTTACAGCGACCAAAGAAAAGTGAAGCAGTGTCATCATCGGTTTTTTGAGTTTCAGACTGTCGGGAATATCGGTGTTGAACTCCGGGTAATGGGTGTCACCTGCGTCAAGCCAGCGAAGTACCTGTACATGTGTGTACAGGTGCTTTAAACTTAAGATGCAAACTGGATGTTTCCGTGGTGTGTTGGACGCTTCAGACATGACAGCAGTCGGCTTTGAACCGGTCACTGCGGATATTTGACGATAAACCTAAAGTTCATTCTAACCGTCGAGTTGCCGCGAAGACAGGAAGTTCGGGGTGATCGCGTTCTCTTTGCAATACCAAAGTCTGGTAGAAAAATATTCACATTCGCTTCTCTTTGCTCTTTCAACTCTCTGATTTGCTGATCTGGTCTTCAAAGGGTGCAGCTCAGCTGTGGCGTTGTGAGTAAAGAATACACGATTACTCCTTAAAAGCTGGGAAGTTTTGAGTTCTGGCAGACTTAATCGCTGTGAGGGCAGTTAGATACATTGTGAAAACGGTCTTCTTAATGACTTTGTATTTAATATTTCAGCATAAGCTTGGTGGCCTTTAATCCTAGCAATATCTTCATGAAATCTTTATTCTGTATTCAATACAATCCAGACAGATTGTGCATGCAGGTCAGTGTGTGAGTGGTCGCCCTAGGTTTGGCAGAGTTGAAGTAGAAATATAATGTCTGATGAGCTACATCTTGCAGCATCCAACACCCCCTCATGTTTGCACCTGGATACAGTAGTTTCATTACCTTTAAGCTGTGCTTGTGGACCACAACAACCTGAAGTTAAATAACAAAAACTGCAAATTTGTAGCTGGGAGTATCAATGCAAAAAGAATGTGGTGCACCTCATGTTGTGTAAAATGTCCTTGTGGGGTTTTGCTTATTAGAATGGTTTTGCAGGCTGTGTTCTGTTGTCTTCTCAGTTGAGAGGGATCTGGTACCTGTGGTCCTGCTAATGTGATGTTCTGATGCTTCAGAAATGTTTTCACCACTTAGGCATTAACATCACAGTCTTCTGCACATGTAGAGCTGAACAAGGCTCACCCCGCAGAGTGCGGAGCTCTGGTGTGCGGTGAGGCTGATGGAAATGTGCAGTGTATATGTAGCAGTCCTGGCCTGTCTGCTCCAGGTGCTTCTCTAGGCTGGGCTGATGAGGTTTGGTATATCTGGCTGTGCCAGTGGTTCACATCAGGGTCTGACTGTGACGATGTATACCAAGTGAATATGCCATGCTGCTTCTGCTTAAGTTTGTTCAGGTGGTTTTGAATGCTGTTCAATATGCAATTGTGCAATTGATATGAAGTTACATATATGAAGATATGAAAGCCATGTGACTTAATCACAGCGCACAACTACATTACCACTTTCTGTTCCTGGAGAAAAATGCTGTAGCTAGGCGATGTGCTTGACAATGATAGCTTGTGCAACTCTATAGGCATCAGCTGTCACAGACAGGACTATGGCGACCCAATGATCAGACCTGTCTGGAACCCGCACTGGGAATGGAGATGGACTGGAGAGATCAGGCTGCCCTTGCTCAAGATCCCAGTCGAAGGTTTTTCACAAACTCTCAACCATATGCAGAACTGAGGTTTTGAGCTCTGTCGCTATTATGGCTTCTCAAGATATACATCCATAGATATATTGTGAAACCACAGTCTTCTAAATGACTTTGAATTTTAGATTCCAGTATAATCGTGATGGCCTTTAATCCCAGCAATATCTTCATGAAAATAATATATAACCACTTCTTCCAGTTCAGGAGTGCGGGGGAGCCAGAGCCTATCCTAGCAAGCAACAGGTGGAAGGCAGGGTACACCTTGTCCTGTCACCTGTCCATTGCAGGGCACATGCAGACGCACTCACTCCATGGCCAGTTTTCCCAGAAGCCAGTTAATCTACCTGTATGTTTTTGGGCTGTGGGAGGAAACTGAAGCACCCAGAAAAAACGGACGTGAACATGAGGAGAACATACAGACTCCACACAGATAGCAAACCAGATCTGGAGTTGAACCCAGGGCCCCAGTGCTGCCAGGCAGCAGTGCTAATCACAATCTCAAGACAGTTTTTAGTTGAGTCTCGATTGCTGTGTCTTACTGTGTGGGCTCTCTGTCTGTCTCAGGGATGAACTGAGAATGAATGTAAACCAGCAAGCACCCATGGCCTCTCCGTACGGACAGCCACAGCCTGGCTACCAGGGGTACCCCCAGCCTGCCTACGGGGGACAACAGGTGGCCCCAGGCCCCCCCTCTCAGTATGCGCCCTACAATGGACCCAATCCTGGATACCATCAAGGACCCCTGCCACAAGGTAATAACACTTCTGTCCAAATGCTGTTTGTGCTTTATTTATTACTAGTTATGCATGTTTTTTTAATGTTCAGATGAGTAAAAGTGCATCTTTCCCAATGCTGTGAAAACACAACTCGTGCAAGACTTCTGCAAGGTTCTGCATGGTGAAATGAGGGTTCACCTTTGCAACAGTTCCAGTGCTCCATGCACTTTGGGCTCTGTTCATCAGTGCTTGTCAGTACAGACAGAGACAACAGCGCAACAGCATGGAAAGATATAAAAACAGAAGATTCTCTGCTTCTGAGCCTGTGCTTACATGATGTAGAGTGTGACATTTTAATATAATGCAGTAGTTCTCAATCCTAGCCCTGTGGGACCACTGTCTGGTGGGTTTTTCTCCAGCAAAGTTCTAAATCGCAGGGCAATGGAATTAAGTTTCACTATTTTAGGTGTGTTTTTAAATTGAATCTCCTAAAAAGTTTCAATTTTCGAGTTTCAGAACTCCCCTACTTACAGTATGCGAGTCCTGTGTCTGTTCATTATGGACTGATCACGTATTACAAGCTGTTTAGTCAGAAATAAGGCAGCAAATTCTTTATGCGCGGGTTGAGGAGGGTGTGCATGTGTTGCATGTGTTATGAATATTGAAGGGACTGGATATATAGTTTAAGAATATAGTTTAATAGGGTATTTCTGAAATAAAGGCCCAAGTGCAGAAAAAAAAGTCTTAACAAGCAAGCAGATGATTTAAAGGCACCAATCAGCACTGGTGATTAAGGGCTCATTTGGAATGAAAAAACAACTGGATGCAGTTTACCAAGGGCCAGGGTTAAAATCCACTGCTGTAATTTGCAGACTTTTAAGTTATTTTTGCAAATGATACAGCAACAATATTAACTTTTTATTCCATTTGATATTGTATCACTAAGTGCCCAAGCGGCTGTGTGACTTTAAGAATTCGTAGAGGAAAGCATTTAAGAATTTGTAGAGGAAAGCTGAAGCTCTGTCATTGCTGCTGATTCCTCCTGGTGTTACCCATGTGAGTTTGCAAGGCATCTAAATGTTAAAAGTCTGTGTCTTTTTAATTCGCATGCGCACATCGTTATACCGTTGTGAGATTCTTGCCTTAAAAAGCAAGAGCTGTAAAATTCAAGACTTTTAGGATGCTGCACCCACTCGGCTTATGGAAAGTGTGAATTTGGTGGGGACATGTCTCCAAGTCTGCAATAGAGATAGTATAATCTCTGCCCCATATAAAGGTGAAGCAGCGGTAGAGGTTATATGAACATTGCAGATTGTCAATAAAATGATGTTTTGTTGTTTTTTTTTCTTGGGTGCTGTTTTCTTGTGTTCCAGGATATTCTCCTTATTCAGGCTTTTCCTCTAAGGCTCTTCCTGCTGCTCTAGTTTCTGACCTGTCTGCCTCCTCCTGTCCTCTTGATTTAGGTAACTCTTGTGCTGGGCTTGCCCACTCTCACTGCACTCCTGCCTCACAGCTCTTTCCCTGCTGTTCCGAACAGAGCATTCCTGTTTCGAGTTCATCAGGAATTTCTCAGTGTATTTTAGTTTTCCTGCTGCATTAACCTGCTGGGCTGCTGCTCAGAAGGAAACATGTTAAAGATGGGGTCTCAAATGCAGTTCTGGGGGGTTTTAAATAGCTGGGCAAATGAAGTGAATTTTTGTAGTACTTCTATTATGAAGTATTTTGTAGGTGCTTGTACCTTTGATGAAGGAAATGTTTTGAGTAACAAAATAAGGTGGAAGACCTCAATAAAAATTCAACGCACAGTCAGTTCCGCTGTAACAAGATCGTTGCATTCCTGAAGATACTTGTTATAATAAGCATATATTTAATGGGAATGAAGGGGTTAAGGTGTAGATGTCAAGAAAAAGCCATCGTGATTGAAATGTTTTATATACAATTTTGAATATTGCTCTTAGTTGTAATGGTTTATTTAATCGTGTTTTTTCGTATTCATTCATGGAACACAACCACGAAAACATTGAAAACTGTGCACAGGGCAGGTGTGGCGTGACAGCTTTGTCACCCAGCGATTGGAAAGGTAGCACTTGAGAAATACATAGGGTGAGAGAATGCAATGAAGGTGGAGGATGGATCTTGAGGATGGACCTTTTAAAGTAAAAACCTTTTTCATCCAAGACATTTCTAATCTAAACGGTTACTTTTGGGTGTGATTTTACATCGACTTCCTGCAGGCAACTGCATACCTGTTTATTTCAGCTCGTGTGGGACTGACTAATTTATATGCACTGGATTGCGTTGTACAGAACTGTAGTCGTAATCAATTCAGGTTATCTGCGTTATATCCAATTATTGCATGAATTCACAGCGCTATATAGTGGAACTGACTGAATGTCTGTAAGAAACTGTTGTTGGACTCTTCAGGTACACTAGGCCCTACAGGAACTGAGTTTGAGACCCCCTGGCTGAAATGTTTGATCAGTACAGAAAAGTGTATTGATCTAAGAATCCACAGTCAACAAGTATTTATGTGGAGCTGTTAGCCTAGTGGTTTTCATGTTAGTTTGAGAAATTGTGCATTCCCTTTTTCTTAAAGTCAAAAAACAAATACTTACATAGTTTTCCTGCTCTTTTCAGAATAAGACTACCTCTCCTGTAATCAGACTCTGTGGGGTCAGTACCTTGTACTGATTTTGTGTTATCCGTTCTTATTTACAAGCTTAAAAGGAGCCATAGTCAATGTATTTATCTTGGTTATTATTAAGTGCGATATGAAATCAACCTTAAGAGTTAGCCTTGAAAAACCTGGTTTGAGGGGGGGGGGGCAGAATGCAAATATCTCAATGCAAAAATGTGACCCATGCTGAGTTTCATATATATATTTTTAAAGGCTGTCTTCTGTGTCTGTTTAGGTCCAATGCGGCCGCCCCCTACCTCAGGGGCACCCCCAGTCTCCGCCCCCCAGACCTATAACCAGTATGGGCCAGGGGAGGTGCAGAACGGACCCCCCACCGTGACCAGCCAGTCACAAAGGTGAGTGTCGACAGCACATTGCAGACCTGCTGTTGTCTGTACCTGGACCATGCCTACCCTACTCTGACACCAGGGAGTGCCGTCCAGCAGGCTTTCCAGGTCTCTTGAATCCCTTTCCAAATAAGCAGAAAGTTCAATGTGGTAATTAAGGGCCCAGTGTCAGGGAAACAAGTAGGCTTCTGACCCTGTAGCCAAGGATTGTATTCACTGAAAATAGATTGGACCTAGAGTGCTATCTGTGTGGATTTTGTATGTTTGCCCCGTGCTAATGGGTTTCCACTGGGTGCTCCAGTTTCTTCCCACAGTCCAAAGACATACTGCTATGTTAATTGGCTTCTGGGAAAGTTGGCCCTTGTGTGGTGTGTATCTGTGCCTGTGTGTGCCCTGTGATGGACAGGTGTCCTGTCCTAGGTGTACCCAGCCCTGCTTGCCAGGATAGGCTCTGGCTCTGTGTGACCCTGTATTGAATAAAGTGGTTGGAAAAGTTCCATACATTCCTTCATTGGATTTAAATTTAAAATAAAAGTTTCCTTTAAAATACCTTTCAAATGCTAATGAGCTAGGAGCTTTCCAGATTCTCTTGTCATTCACTTGATTTTTCTGTTTGTCAGCCACTCCGCTGGTAATGTGTGTATTATGACTTGATTCTTGCTTTTGGACAGGCCGCCAGTTTCCCAGCCGTATGTCCCAGGTGCAGCGCCACCTGCTGGTACGCAGCCACCATACCACCAGCAGTATGGAGCTCCACCCACAAGCGCACAGCAGGTGGCCAATCAGATGGCAAGCATGCACATCAGCTCCCCGGCTGGCCCAGGTTATGGTATGTCCCAGAGAGCCAATACAAGGGATCTTTATTGCACTAAATCTACCTATAAATATTATCAGCTTGGGTTTGTGCAATTTTCTTCACTTCTGAATGAAAGGAAACATTCTTGCATGAGTTTGCATTTTACTAAAAACCTTTAAATAATCCCATAGAAATGCTTAAATAAGCACTTGTTCTTAATCAGTGCTTACTATAAAGCATCTCACATTCTTTTGCTCTGAAAAGGAAACACTTTTGCACTTTAAGTGTATACTTGCGGTATATATTTTGCTTATGTTTAGTAATTAACTTTCGTGTTGTTGTCAAGAATCTATAGCAACAGGTCTAAACTATTTGAAGAAGACTGTCCAGTTCCTCCAAGCCATTATGTACATTGTAGTTTAGAATTTGCATCTCAGATATTTTTAGGATGTCACCTGACTATTTTAAATGACTGACTCACAGACAGAATTTCTTAGCAGCCTTTTTGTTTCACACTAAGAAAAAGCAAAAACAATGTGGTGACAGTACCTTTCATGCAGATCAAGCTCTTATAGTGTATTCTTAAATAATTTGATTTCCCAAAAGTTACTTTTGATTATTTAATAAATGATAAAAATGCACTTGTGACATTTTTCTTTGTGGATGTGTACTTGTGTATCACAGTCATTTGTGTTAGAACAAGAGGTGGTAATTCAGCCCATCTAACCTACTTCCTTTTTGGTAATAAGTAGTTAATTGGTCCAAGGATCTCATCAAGCCATTTCTTGAAGGGTATTGAATTCAACAACATGGCCGAGCAGCTTGTTTCACACTCCCACAGAGTTGCCTCCTGTTCTCAGTTTCAAATGCACTTCCACCTATTTTCCACATCTGCCCTCTGGTTTGTGTTGATTGTGAGGAATTTTTGAATTTTTTGGATCTGCTCCCCTGGTAATGTTCTCTGTTCAGCTGTTGTGTACATGTTTTCAGTTTCTCTGAACCAGTAGGTTTTATGGCTTCGGAAATGGTTTCATTCATTGATGTCCTTTATATCAGACCTGAAGTCACTACTTTGTGTTTTTGTACTCTTGCATGGTTGAGCACCTTCTTGTAAAGATGAGGTTGTACATCACACATCATTTCCTCAATTGATTAATTTTTCTTCTCTTTCAGTTGCGCCATCCTCTCAGGCTCAGACCTCTGCTGCTTTCACATCCCCTGCACCACCCTCTTTCCCACTGCACTCTGCCCCCACCTCACAACCCGCTCAGCCTCCTTTCTCTGCAGCGCCCCCTCTTTCTCAGCAGGCCTACCAAGGAGCTCCTTCGCAGCCTCCTTTTACTAGTGCTCCCCATTCGTCTCAGGCCCAGTTCTCCTCGGGTCCCCCGGCCTCCCAGCCCCGCTTCTCTGGAGCCCCCCAGACGCCCTCTCAGCCTCCCTACACTGGTGCCCCAGCTCCTCAGCCTTCTGTGTCCCAGCACTCCCCCTTCCACTCCGCCCCCTCTCCCGCCAGCGGCTTCCCACCCCCTGGAGGTGCCCCCAGACCTCCGGGGATGCAGGGGCCACCCCCTCTTCGCCAGCCTATGTCAGGACCCCCGTTGTCACAGGCCAATCACATGTCTTCAGGCTCTACACCACCAAACATGGCTGGGATGCCCCCTGGCCCCCCTCAGCAGCCCCTTGGCCTGCAGGGGCCCCCTCAACAGCCAGGCCTACAGGGGCCCCCTCAACAGCCAGGCCTGCAGGGCTACCAGCCCCAACAGAACGGTGAGGCCCCCTACACGTACAGTGCCATTAATTTCAACAGCCAAACTGGTATTCCTTTCTGGCACTTCTGCTTAAGACCGATATTGACCTACAGACTACCAGAGTGTTCATTGTGAGTGCAGCTTTTAAAGTTGTTTGAAAGTGATAAAACATGTCCCTTACCCAAGAAGTCCTCATCCAGACACTGCACCATTTAACCACATACGGAAGTATTTTCAAGATGTTCAGATTGATCAGAACCCAAAACAACATTTAGTTTTATGAAGGGGTAAAACTATGTCAGAGCCTTGCAGCCACCCAAAACCTGCAAAACACGGACAAACCTTCTGACTCTGACTGTTGTTTTAATTCAGTCACCTGAACCATTTAATAAGTACAAAAAAGTGTATTATTGCAGGGATGTTTAAGTGGATGTGTTAGGCTTGTTAGACTAGGTTAATTTTCAGAAGTAGTATTACCTGTTTTTTATAGTCTAAACGCCTATACATGGGACATAGCTTAACTACTGAGCTCACATCAATTTCTTACAATTATTTTAGGGAGGATATTGAGGTTCTGCTTATTTTGATGCGCATAAATAAGCTCCTCTTATTCATGCAATCAACATTAAAAAGTGAAATATACCATTGATGAAATAATAATCATGAATGGTGATGACATGTAACATCCTTATTTCTGAGGGTTTAACCCCTCATGCTCACAGAGTTGAACTTTTTCAAAGCTTTCAGTCCTTGCTGCATAGTTTCATGAGCTATTTTTAACATTATTTGTAAACAAAATATTTGACGTCTTGGTAAGATTTTCTGAAATCATCTTTAGCCTTCAGAAGGGCAGTTTCCTCTGATCAAATCGGAATTTGGTGTTGTTCATGAAGGGCTGCAGTGTGATTCTGATGAGTACAGGTCTGTCGTGGCGAACAGTGTAGTGCCTGTAACCAGATCTGGCCAGCGTAAGTTTCCGTGATGAAGCAGGCCTCTTCTCCAGTCTCCAGAGGATGCTCCCTATATGCGTCTCAGGTTTCCTGCAGGAAAGGTGATCCAGGATTCAGTTACAGAACGACGAGTTGTGACGCTTCTTGTGCGTTTCTTTCTGGTGTGGCCTTTCGGTCATTTCTCTGTGTGCCTGGCACTCGGAAGCACACAGTTGGATTTTGCTATAATCCTGCCTCTACACCTTCGAACTAATTCAAGTGACTTGGAGAGTAGTTCAGTTTTCCATAAAGAAAGAATAAAAGATGAATTTCCGCAGGGGGAGTAACATGAGAGAACTGTGTGAATTCAACATTAGAAGCATTTGAGAATATCTCCATAATTCAGAACTCAAGCAAAAAATAAGCGTTACTATTCTTACCGCACTGAAAGTCAGTCTAGTGTAATATTACAAGGGCATATATCAAGTTTGTTTTTAGATCACAGCCCATATATCTATCCATTCTCTAACTGCTTCCTTCAATTTAGGGTTGGAGGAGAGCTGAAGCCCTGGCAAGCAGCGGGCCCGTGGCAGGGTACACCCTGGACGGGACGTTAGTCCATCACAGGGCACACACAGACACTGAAGCACTCACACCCAGGGCCAATTTTCCTAGAAGCCAATTAACCTCTCAGTGTGTCTTTGGACTATGGGAGGGGCCAGTGGCGTAATGGATAATGCATCTGACGACGGATAAGAAGATTGTGGGGTCTTTGGTCTGTGAGCTCCTGGAGGAAACCCATGCCAACCTGAGGAGAACATACAAACTCCACACAGAAAGCACTCCAGAAATAGAACCCAGGGCCCTAACGCAATGCTACCCACTCTCCCACCGAGCTGCCCCAGAGCATGTATATATATATGTTTAAGATGGACATAGACTGAAAAGTAAACTATTAAGTAGAACTAGATTTTCTTTTGTGGTTGTTTAAAAAAAAATGGGATGTTGAAAATCTGATCTGTTACCTTAAAACAGGCCAAGCTGCTGAATATAAATTTCCTATTCAAAGGTGCTTTCGGGCAGATGAGGGGACCCCAGCCTGGCTATCCAGGTTCCTATCCAGGTCAGCAGAATTTTGGGACTCAGCCTGCACCCCCTCCAGGGCCACCGCAGAAGCGCCTGGATCCAGACTCCATTCCTAGTCCGGTAAGTGTGCTCTGACCTCATGACCCTATGTCTGCAGTTCAGAGCAGAATGATGCTGAGATAAGTGCAGGCTTCTCTGCCCACCGAGCTGCATTAAGGCCCAGGGTTAGAGCGAGTCCTGTTTTAGTGCTTCGGGTGTGGGAGTGTGTTCTGTGTGCATTTGGAGAAAGTACACGAAGTAGCAATCATAAATTAGTGCTCCATCATAAGGCAACATTTTTGGTATGTTTGTGTGTTTGGCTCCTATATTCCTGTGGTCCTCGTGTGTGGTATAGAATGGGTAAAGACATTGTTCTTGCACAGGTATCACTGACATAAAGAACTAAATTATTGTTAGAAAGCTTTGCTCATTAACATACATCTGGGTGCTTCCTGGGTGTCTCATCATTTTTAAGTGCTTACCTAAGCGCATTTTGAGCTCTGTGGTCACAGGTTCGTGCTTGGGCCATGTCTCTGGCCAGCTATGACCAGGATTCCCTTGGTGACACATCACAGTTAGGGTGTGATTAGTTGACCAAGGGCTCCCTTGGCATTAGTGATACAGCGCACCCTGTAGGGTGAGGGTACATGTTAAAATACAATTGGCACGAAGGTGAGCAGGGTGAAGAGTCTGTCTACTCTTCCTTATCCTCACCTGTGTGCAATCACAGCTTCACAGCTAAGAACTAATGAGACAAAATCACACAATTATCTTATTCAGTGGGTACAACAACCACCATTGTCGATTATAGACTATAAAAAGAGGCTGGTTATTTCAATTCTTAGATTGTTCAGAGCTATTTAAGTGCTTTTAAGTTGTCTTGTGAAGCAATCTTAGTCTCGTCATTCTCAGTCCAATAAATTCAAAACTTTGGAATTCAGTAGTGACTTTCATAGTTGAGTGTAATTACTGTGGAAAATCACTACTGTGGAGTGTTATTAAATAGCATTTTATTTTAAAATGGTTCAGATTCTGTCATCATCTGTATCCTTTATCCATGGCTGTCCCTTCCTGTTTATCTTCCTGTGCACCTTAGTTCTGCACTGCCAGTAAGTGGCATCCTGCGTGAGAATGGTGTCACCCCTTTAGTGTTGTTGAAAATAGAAATTCTAGACTAATGGGGAGCAAGAACCCTTCAGCATAGTTGTGGTCAAGCTCTTCATCTTTTCTTTACAGTAGCTAGCCCTCAAAAGAGGATTGTCCCACATCTCCAACTACATAGGAGATGGAAAATAACAGATACTTCTAGGACCTATCAAGCCAAGTCGTATGTGTGTGTGTTACAATAAGGCTTGTTTTCAATTATTAAGATTGTATGATATTTGCAATTGTAACTGGAGCGAACGTGAAAGTGTTGTTTTCTAGTCCAGTGCCTAATTCTTATTTGCATAGATTGAATATTGATTAAGTATAGGCTGCTGTCTGCGAGTTCGTATTATGAAAATGGTAGTGGTAGAAATAAATTCTTATGTGTGATGGTAAGATAGTTTAAATAATTTCATATTTTAATCTGATCTTTCAACTGTGTGTTTTCTCTAATTGTAAAAATGAAGAGATCCATCTAAAGGTTAAAATGTTTGATGATGTAATCCTGTTCTGGATGCGCAAGAGATGTCTTGCGTTCTCTAACATGCCCGTTCTACTGGGACGGTTGTGTTGTAGACCTGTGGTGAGGAGAAGCTGCCTCTTGCTGCTCTCACACAGTGCTGTGCTCATGCTTGGATTTCTGCATGCGCCTGGCGTACGTTCTGTGGTGTCTGAAGACATGACTAATCGGACTTTTTAGGATGATGGTCGTCTGGGAGAACAGAAGTAACAGCTGTTACTCTTCTGTTTTTTTCTCTTTTTTTTTCTTCTGTCCCCCCTACCCGTCCCCCTTTTTTGTTTTTGGTTTTATTTTTGAATTTGCGGGGGAACTGTAAACCCTGTAAAATTATAAAAGCAAACCACTGAGCTGCCTCCCGTGCAGAAAACGAGGCATAGAATAGACCCAGACGCAATTCCCAGTCCAGTAAGTGCAGTGTGTCTGTCTGCCGTCTTGTCTGTCGCAGTAATGCCCCCCCCCCCAGCCCCGTTGTTTCCCTAACCCTTCAGCCCCCAGTGCCTGCCTCTCAGCATGCTGCCTCCCCTTCCCTAATCCCTCTCCTGGCCCCAGCGGCCTGGGCTACCGGACGCGTCTGTTCCCGTTGGCGAAGGAGGGGCTGTTTCAAATCATTTTGGTTGAGCAGCCACAAGGCTGAGGCTCAGGGAGAATGTTAATCCTCACATCTCCTGCCGAGAAAAGGCCTTGATCCAGCTCTTCCAGTTCTTGCACAATGGGAAGGTACTGTGAGGTTTTCCTGTCCCAGGGATGCCATCAGGGTGGATCTTCAGAAGTATGTATGAGGATTTGGGGAGAAATCAGCTGTGCTTATGTTTAACCCACGCCTGGTGTGCCTGGCCTTGTACAGGTGGCATGGGATGAACAACTATTAAGCTACTGCCATAATTGCATTGAGTAATATCTGAAGACTGCTGCTTTCTAACAGTAGTACCTTTAATAATGGTTACACCCATAGAAGTAATTGGCAGTTCATATTCACGTTGGTGCATTTGGCCACGGACTTTTACTTCTCATGCTTCCATGCATCCTGTGGAAGGAACACACTAAGTTGAGCAGCAACACTAAGGGAAAGTGTACTCCATAAATGTTGTATGAAAACCAATTTCAATTAAGTAAACTAAATAACTGCAGGAAAGCATTTTAAACAGCATTTTCTTAGGAGCGGGTTAGTGACTTAAGTTAGATTGTCATACAGGCCTTGTGAATACGTTCAGCCACCACCACTGGGCAGGAAAAGCTGATTGTACCTTTCAGTGCTTGTAACTGTGAGATTAGATTCCATAGAGAGCCCTGGTATAGGATTATCAGAGATTGACGTGTTTGTGCTCAGATTGAGTGGATTGAGCTCTATGATCCAGGCATTGCAGGTTTGAGCCTTGGCCAGGTCACTAGTAGACTGTGACTGGGGTTCCACAGGCCGAGCTGCACAATTGGCACAAAGGACAAACACGGTGATCCCTGAGACCTCCACTGAACTTGCAGCCTTACGGTGCTACTGCTGATGGATGTGCCTTTCTTCCAATCGGTGTGGGACTGTGATATGCTAAAAGATGATTGGCTCGAAGGTGGGCGGGGTCGGAGGAGTCTGTCTGCATTTCCTCATTCTCCCCTGTGTGAGATTGTAGGGTTCATAGCCGAGAGCTGTTCTGGTGTTTCAAAAAGCCAAGTGGGTATCGCTAAAAAAATTGGTGATTCTAAATAAAAAAATTAGAAAATAAATATTGGTAAATTTCAATGATGATTGTATTTTCCATTTAACATTAGAATTGTTGCATTGTCATGTCTCATTTTGAGCACTGTAATACTACTGACTAGTAACAGTAGCACATTTAAAATTGTGTAACAAATCTTCTTTTAATAAGTTGATAGAACTGTCTGGTTGAGTTAGAAACAAATTAAATGCTCTTTAATCATAGTTGCATCAAACTGCTGTTTGACCACAGAGCTGGGTTAAGGGGAATGCTGGTCCCATAGTTTTAAGTACACTAGGAAAGGTGAAAGCATGCATGTGAACAAACCAGGTATACTACTCGTAGTCGGGAACATGCTCCCTCACTCACTTCAGTAGAGGTTATTGCATTACCAGGATGAGCATGACATTGTTGCTGAGCCTTTTTTCCCCATCAAAGCCAGATCTTTTTAGTTTCTCCTTTGGCTTTAAAGAAAGAGCTTGTGGGTACAGCGTTTCTTCGAGGATGCTGTGCGCATGATGGACCTTGAAGGCCATGCATAAATTCCTGTGAGCTGAGGCTCTGGCCAGCCCTGAAGGTCTCGTGCTTATAGCTCACAGTACTTTCTGCCATGGCCAAACAGCTCTTCTGCAGGGAAGGGTTTCCTCTTGGGTGCTGTTTGTGAAGGTTTCTAAATGTCTTGCTGCAGCTGCAGTTCTCTGGTCCTACATGACTAAGGATTGTCAGTAGTTCAGAAATCTTAAGATCTTAAATCACTTGAAATCTTAAGATTGAAATTTAGATATGTGCAGCTAACTAAAATTCAGACATTTAATGGATATGTTGTCCTGTTCATCTCATTCCTTAATGTTTCTAAGTAAAGGTTATAATAGATTAAGTGCATCAAAACTGTAATGTAAGCTAATTTCAGCTTGTTACAGATTACATATTGAAACCCTTTGAATGTCTCCACACTCATTCACCCTTGCCATTTCAGATCCAGGTCATTGAAGACGACAAGGCTAACAGGAGCAGTGAGTCGTTTACAACTGGGGTGAAAGGTCAGGCACCTCCACTTGTCACAACCAGCTTCCAGGTTAAAGATCAAGGTATGGGATGCCTCTAATAATCATGAGCTACACTTTTTAAAGCCTTATGCAGTGTGTTGCTCCAGCCTGGGTCCATGTATGGTTCCTTGCACTCCTGTCTGTGTGAAGACATGCAGTGTTCTGATATTTCTTGTGCTTTCCCAGGGAATGCCAGCCCCCGCTATATCCGGTGCACAGCCTACAACATGCCCTGCACTTCAGACATGGCTAAACAGTCTCAGGTGCCTCTGGCTGCAGTCATCAAGCCGCTGGCTACGTTACCAGCTGACGAGGTGAGTGCTACAATGTGAGCACGGAGACTCTCTGCTCACTAACTAGTTGAAGGATCTCGTCTCTTTTTCCAGTTTGTTCCAGGCTTCCACTACTTTTGTGTAGACAGGTACCTCTTACATAAGAAACATAAGAAATGTTGCAGACGAGAGGAGGCCATTCGGCCAGTCTGGCCAGTTTGATGCCAGGATCTAATCCAGCTCTTTCTTGTAAGAAGCAAGGGAAGTTTGTTCCAAAGTCCCTCAACCTTTTGTGTAAAGAGGTGCCACCTGTTCTGAGTTTTAAAATGCACTTCCACATAGTTTCCACTTGTATCCTCATAATCTTATCTGTTCAAACCTTAAACGGTTCAGAATTTAGGTTTCTCTGAACCACCAATGTAGTTTATCAGCTTGGGCTTATTGGACAGTTCCATTGAAGGTTTTGAATACTTTAATTTGAATCCAATCACAAAAATTGTCATTGTTTTGTCATACATGACTCGACTCTTATGCTTTTTAACCCCTTGTTCTGTACGGAAAAAGGTCCTGGCCCAGAGATGTGCTGCTCACTTCTCTCTCTCTCTGACGAGACGGAAGCAGACCCAGTATCTGTTGATACTGTTATTAGAGACAGTCATCAGCTTCTAGCTATCATTAACAAGCAGTGTATTACTCCACTACTCACAGCTTGTCATACAAAATAGAAAAATAATACAAAGGAGCTGCGCCATCTCTCTGAATCAGTTTTTGTCAGTAAAGTGTTATTTTCTGCTTTCTCTTTGACAGTGGTATTGTTTGTTGTTAATTTGGGAACATGAAGACATCAGCTGTTGTAACAAACACAATAGCTGGACTGGTGGCTAATTTTACAGACCTAATTCTTGTCCTGATTGTGTTGTGTCCTTCATGACAGCTGTCCCTCCCCAGGCAGAATTACGGGCTCTTGTGCCCCCGTGACCTTGGAGCACCCCACTGGCTCTCTGGTTCCTCTTAATGCTAGTCTCATGGTTTCTTGCTTGCACAGCATTATAGGAAGTAGTGCCAAAAAAAAGTCATGTATTGAGTCTTACAGTAAGTCTCACCTGGAGTAAACAATTCACAATATCACAAAGTTCAAAGTAATATAAGGGCCAAACCATAGATTCTATTCTTTTAATGACTTGTTCCCTCTGTTTTTCTCTCTCTTCTTTTTGGCCTCACTTCAGTCCCCACCCCTGCGCTCTTTCGGCCATGTCTGTGTTACTAATGATAGCTGCTCACTTATCCCCCCCTGTGCTGCAGCTGTTGGAGCAGATCAGCTGAGAAAGGCGATCTCTTGCCTGGGGAGGTGCTTTCTGCTGTGCTTGCCAGTAGCACTCCCTGGAGAATTGTTTGTGAATTGCACTCATGGAAGAGAGCAATACATACTTGTTTCTAGGTTTTACAGTCATCTCCAAAATGATTGGCACATTTAATGAAGATGTCAAAAAAAGGCTGTATAAAAAAATGCAGGCAGGGAGCTATATGTTATGGTCAAAATTGTATATTATATTGAGTATTGCCTTTTCCATATTCTAAATCAATGTTTTTTTGTTAACACTTTGATACTTGTATTTCTCAGAAAGATAGGTTCCACCCTTTTTTGTTTCTGTTGATGTAAAATATTGCTTGAAGACATTTCTGGAAATCTTCGGCACACTTTTGAAGTGTTTTGGGCATTGTACTTCTTCACTGGTGTCATGGGACATTCAATTACATCGTGAACTTTCATTTGTAAATACCTTTTAACTGTTACCACAAGAGTCTCTGTAGACAAAACGCATGTAGTCAATTTGTTGAAAAATGTGAAATATTTTTTGTTTCTAAAAGTTTTAGGTTTTCATATTCTACCTAATGCGGATGCCGCCCACATAGAAGGAATTAATTAATGTCCCATATTGCTTTCCCCAACACAATCTGTGGATTGGAAGAAATGAGACTTTCCACAAAGTGTTTCTGTTTCCTGTATTGCTGAGAACTGACATTCTTCTTTTCACTTTTAAGAGAATTTCTCCTTTCATCCATTTTTTATACACTTCTGCAGTTCAGTGCTGCTGGGTAGCTGGATCCTATCTCAGCAAAAATCCGGGCGCAAGGCAGGGTAAAACCCTGGCCACAGGGCAGACAACGCGCTCACACTAGGGCCAATTTTCATCCTTTCAAGCCAGTTAACCTACCAGCATGTTTGCTGTGAGAGGAAACCAGGTTCATTAAAATTTTAAAAAAGGGCGACAGCATGAATAAGGTGAATAAAGGTGCATAACGTTTTCAGGTTCCTCCATATGTCGTCGAGCATGGCGAAGGCGGGCCCATCCGCTGTAACCGGTGTAAAGCCTACATGTGTCCCTACATGCAGTTCATCGAGGGCGGCCGGCGCTTCCAGTGCGGCTTCTGCAGCTGTGTGACAGAGGGTGAGTGTCCTAGGCATCAGGCTGATGCAGCCGACAAGCCACACTCATCCCGAAAGTGACCTTGATCCCCTCTTCCCTCCCAGTGCCTCCCCAGTATTTCCAGCACCTGGACCACACTGGGAAGCGGGTGGACTGCTACGACAGGCCAGAGCTGTCCATGGGCACCTATGAGTTCTTGGCCACAGTAGACTACTGTAAGGTGAGAACCAGCTCAGCCTTTTCAGTGTCAGCCTTCGGGAGGAAGACTTTTCTGGGGCAGTTGGGATAAAAATATAAAATCTATGATGGGACAGAAGCAATCTGCACTGCTGTCAGACCCACAGACCCGTCTCTGTTCCCTGTGGGGCACCGTGAAGAACTTTTTGTGTTTAGTCATCTGCCCTTTTAACTCTGACCTAAGATGAGGTGCCCCTAGGTTTTGTTCTCTTAATGACAAATTTCCCCCTATCTCAAAGAGGAAGGGCTGAAATGAACTAATTAAAAACATCTTTACAAGTTATATATTTATATAACTACTTACAGCAGCTATAGAAGTCATTGCCAGAAAGCCAAGACTTAAGGCAGTTTGCAATTCTTGGTTGGGTGGCTATACAAAACAAAAAAGGGATGTAGTAACTAACCTGATGGTGCTGTTTTTAGTTGCATAGTACTACCCTCATAGCATATGGGCAGGAGTGGGGTTGTGCCTGCAGGTTTGGTCAGAAGGACCTCTGCAAATACTGAAATAATCAAATAATCGAATTCCTTCCAGAACAACAAGGTCCCAAAGCCCCCTGCCTTCATCTTCCTGATTGATGTCTCGTACAACGCTGTGAAGAGTGGCCTGGTCAGCCTTGTCTGTGAGGAGCTGAAGACCCTGTTGGACTACCTGCCCAGGTACAGCCTAGATCAATTGTAGAACACAGTGTGCTGGATTATAGAAGTGTAATATGTATAAACTAGGGCTAATGTTTTTCTAAGACGGATAATTTGTGAATGGCATGAATGGTTTTGATACAGAGTGGATGTTTTCGGTGTTCTGTTCTGTTTGACAATATGCTGCCCTTTTCTGGTGATCTAGGTGTAGATCAAGGGTAGGTCTGGAACACAAAGGATGCCAGAACGTGCTAAAGTCAGAATTTCTTGTCTTGTGCCAGCATTGTACAAAAGGTCTAAAATGTACATATAAGGACATATCTGTCCATCTATTTTCTGATCTGCTTTATCCAGTACAGGATCACAGTTTAGCTGGAACCTATCCTGGCAAGCAACAGGTGTTGTATATCCTATGCCAGTCCATCACAGGACACAGACACAAACACACATACTTACACCAGGGCCGGTTTTTACAGAAGCCAATTAACCTGCCAGCACGTCTCTGGACTCTGGGAGATCGGAGCACCCGAAGGAAACTCCATACAAACTCCACACAGATAGTGCCTCAGGAATTGAACCCAGGCCCCCAGCATTGCAAGGCAACAGTGCTAAGCTCTGTTCCCCCTCGATAAGGACGTACTGCATGCCTTGGTTTAAAGAAACCTGTAGAAGGTCTTTAGGAGTACTAGTACTCGTAGTTCACAACTGAAGTCCATTTGGGATAGTCAAAATTGTGAGAAATAAAAACTGCATAAACGTTATTTATAAATCTTAGTTTTGTGGAGTTCCCAAAGTGTAGTGTCAAGGAGACAGAGGCCGAGCTCTGAAGACTGCACATGGGGGTATTGAGCCTGGGGGACGGGGGAAGTACAGATGTTCAAATTATGCAAGTGTGCCATGGACAGAGCTGAGAACCCCTGATCTAGAGCCAGTGATCTAGACCAGAAACACAAAATGGTGGAAGTGCATCATCTATGCTTTGTAAGCAATCTGCTTCACTGTTTTAAAGTTTTATTTAATTGTTATTTTTTGTAGTTGATTTAATATTTAAGAGCTTCGAACCCCAATGTGTAAGCTAAATTCTGTTTCCCTGTCGGGGTACTTACTCCTCCTGACACAGACTGTGTGGCCTGCTGTGCACACACCCCTTCTTGTAGCCTGGCCCTGCCTCCAGCTGGCAGTAACACCAGCAGTCATGTCACCGATTTGCAAAGGGTCCTGGACCCTGGCCCTTTTCAGTTTCTAGATTCTGTTTTGTTTGCCAGAATAGAAAATGGCATTGCACATATGACTTGATACATTATACTTGTAGATCCATTCTGATGCCCATGCTATTTGTAAGTATGCATCTTGTTTATACAATAAAGGACCTGTCTTGTAACAGTTGTATCCAAAGTGTTCATGGACTATGTATACCATTGTGATTTTCATGAATGGCCCTCAAAATAAACTCACCATGTAATGTCCAAAAGCCTTTGATAGAATCACAATAACTTCAGCAAGATTTCATTAATAGGCAAGGATGTTACCTTGTATACTCTTATCAGAGTTTTACAAACCAGGTGTAATTAAAATAGTTTAGGAGAAGGGTAGTTCATCTTTGCTGTGACTTTAAGTTAATTTTTGTTTGGTCTATATGGACAACGTATTGACCCCAAATACCTTTCAATTAATGGCGCGATCGACTCTTTTGTGTGCAGAGAGAATCCAGAAGAGGACTCCCACATCAGAGTGGGCTTTGTCACCTACAACAAGGTGCTGCACTTCTACAATGTGAAGAGCTCACTAGCTCAGCCCCAGATGATGGTGGTGTCTGATGTGAGCGACATGTTCGTCCCCCTGCTAGATGGCTTCCTGGTTAATGTCAGTGAGTCCAGGACAGTAATAAACAGGTAAGACACTGTGCCACACCAGCACTGTCATTGTTACTCCAGCAGAGACTCCTGCGATTCCTTTCTTTAGCTCTTGACTACTCTAGGGTAACTTAAAGCATGATTTTCCATTCTTTACCTTACTGTGTTAGGAAACTAAGCTTGTAATTAACTTACATATTTCTTCATTTAAACTCTTCTAATTATTTTTGAAGCCCATACAAAGTTTCAAGTGTGAAATTCCTTGTGTTGGTTAATCTCAAGCCTCCAACTGCTTTAGAAATGAAAACAACTTTTAATTAAACAAATTCCCAGCGAAGTAATGGAACACGGTCCAGAAGAGAATTTCCCTGAACAGGGAATATCTTGCCCCAGTGTGTCTGTACCTGTGCTTTTCCTTAGTAACTTGAGTGTTTGCCCTGACACCTCTCTGCCATTACTGTGTTCTGTGTTGCAGTTTGCTGGACCAGATTCCTGAAATGTTTGCTGACACACGGGAAACGGAGACTGTGTTTGGACCAGTGATCCAGGCCGGTTTAGAGGCACTGAAGGTGGAGATCTCTACCTTTCTTTATTGATCTATTGCAAAGTTACAATATCAAGTTACTGGGTCAGCAGAAGCTGGCATTTGTTTTTGCACCGGTACTTCCCTAAAATTGCTACAACAGCCTCTATCTTCAAAAAAGCTCTGCCAGATACAGATGTTGCTTACAGACCCTGGAACTGTTCCTTCCTTAAATCTGTAAAGTAGCCGCTAGACCTGTAATACTCCCTGGCAGTGGTTGACATTGGCATACATGCCTGCCATGTTGTGCCATGAGTGCCTGGCTGGGCTGAGTTCATGCCACACTCAGTGTGGATCAGTGTATGACATGGATTAGCACAGGAAGCCTGGACTGTATCTTACCAGGATGTGCCAAGCCAAACATCCCTGTTGGATGATTACAGGGTTGTAACAACAGGTGGTCCACATCTGTTCCATATATTTCCATATACAGCTTGTTTTACAATGCAGACAATTCCTAGCCTTCTTAAAAATGAGACCGTCGCTGTTGTCTGTGTGAAAGAGGCAGATCTCATGTTCTCTTGAGTGAGAGTGAATGGTTTGTGTCTGACTGCAGCAGGCATGCCAGTGGATTGAGATGTTTTCCTGATGTTTTGCAGGCAGCAGACTGTGCTGGGAAGCTCTTTATTTTTCATTCCTCTCTCCCCATTGCTGAGGCTCCTGGAAAACTGAAGAACAGGGAGGACAAAAAGCTTATTGGCACGGACAAAGAGAAGGTACCTGCTGTCATGCCCCACAGCACAAGCCCAACACTTCTCCACTCTTTATTATTTAAAAATAACAGGTTTCTCTGAGGAGCTCCTCTCTTAAGGAAAGCACTCTAAAACCATTTTTTACTCTTCATCCGGATTCCACAATACATTAAACAGTGTAGACACAGCTATTGCAGTTTCAGGTGCTCTTTCTTGTTAGAAGATTCAAAAGGAAGCACAATTTTCAAACCCATGAGGCCAGTGACCTCATTCTGAAGTCACATTCTTAAAACAGAATTAAAGTTTCATTGCGGGATGTGTCAAAAACATGCTCATAAATGTGGAAGCAAGTCTTCAGATAACATAGAATAAGGATAAGGAAATACTGCACTTTCCAAATCCAATGTACTCCAGTGCAGGATACAGCTGCTACCAGTTCTGTGATGTGAATGTCATAAATAAATCGGTTAATTAAACAGCTGTCTGTTCCAAAGATGGAAGGAATTGGGAGTGACGGTATTGGACTTAAGAAACATGCTGACACGGTGTACCACATGTGAGCTCTTTTTTGTGGGTTGCTATTGGGAGGTTCTGTACTAGCGTGGCTGCTGTGTTTTCCCAGACCCTGTTCCAGCCCCAGACCAGTTTTTACGGTAACCTAGCGAAGGATTGTGTGGCGCAGGGCTGCTGCGTGGATCTCTTTCTCTTCCCGAACCAATATGTGGACGTTGCCACCCTTGGCGTGGTGCCCTTCCAGACTGGTGGCTCCATCTACAAGTACACCTACTTCCAGGTATGCAGGCATCTAGCCATCTGCGCCTCCTGATGCCACGCAGGGGATCAAGCAAGCAGCTCGCCCTGGCTGTTGTGCTCCATTTCCCCTTCCCCGAGAATTTCCGAAACCCCCCAGCACCCAGGATCGTAACACTGCGCTCTTGCCCGCTCCGTCTAGGTGCCAACAGATGGGGAGCGCTTCCTGAATGACCTTCGCAGAGACGTCCAGAAGCAAGTTGGGTTTGACGCTGTCATGAGAGTCCGGACAAGCACAGGTGAGTCGTTTCGGGGTGGGGAGAGAGACGCATAGTTAGGCATTGTAAAGAGAGCAACAGAAAACTCCAAACAAGAGACCGCCATAGCACGACATGAAAAATGAAAAATGAGATTGGCACTGTGCCTGACACAAAGCTGAAACAATAGATCATCCTTGATCCAAAGGAACAAGTAATAGGTTTATTCCATGCTGAAAAAAAAGAAGAAAGAAAACACACCTGAGCTACTACATCCTTGGTCCAATGCTGTTGTTGATCTTTACATGAAATGCCATGATCCAGAAACTACATTTCCCACACATACATTAGGCTTCCAAGGCCTTTGCTAAACACTGAGAAATGTTGAAATCTCAGGTGAAAGTTTCACAATGATTAGATTTATACTAGATATTTGGTGCTCTGAAGAATTGCATATTCAAAGTGATTGCTCATTTCACAGTTTCTTCTTATAGTGCTTACAAATCATACCATAGTGATTTTATAATGTCTGGTTTCAGCAGGTAATCATTCAAACTTTATTAATAAAAAGGTTGTTTTTTCAATTTTGTATACAGATGAGACTACATTATTCTGTTCACGACAGTGAAAAATTTGTCACTGAAAGGTTGTCCATGGGCAGTTCACGAGTGCCAAGGCACTGCTGCATGAAGCAAAGCCTTTTTTGCATCTTTTTGTGCCAGCTGGTGATTTTCCATGGTTTCCACAGAATTCTGCAAATTTTGGGGAGGAATTTTGGTTTTTTGTATTTAGATTGTGGGGCACTGCTGGGTTTTGAAATCTTAAACATGGGTGTGGCTGTACACCCTACATACCCTCGTTTTCACTACCTGCTCATGTCCAGCATTCCTGTTTTTGGATGACTGTACGAAGAGGTGACTGCTTTTTTTAGCTGGTTCAATCCCTGAAAATGAAGCAGCGCTAAGACTGGTATTCCGATAGCAAGTTTGAGGAACAGGACTCTAGGGGGCAGTACTCGTCAATACAAAGACATGAGGCAGAGCCAGCACTGTTAGCTCGATCAGTGATAAACAGTGAACTAAGTGAAGCTTTAAACTGAGAACTGTAATGCCCTTTTTATGAGCTGAGGCATCAGTTGTAACTGATGGTATCATGGTTTGAGTTATTATTAATACTTTGTACTGTAGTATTTTGTTTAAGGAAGTGTATGCTTTTTAGTTATCTAAATTGTTGCATATCTCTTCTTTTCACATATCCAGTGTTACCTCTGTCCTCAGCAGGGCACATAAGCACTGTTGCGTGCAGCAGTGTGAGCTGTGGTGCCCTTTTTTAACCCTGTAGCCGCCTCTTATTTACAGGACTTGGCTTATAACAATACCTTAACTGATGAAATTTGAGGTGTTGTGAAATTTAGGAAACAATGCTGCTGGGTGCGGCTGTGTTTACTGTAATGCAGCATTGAAAGGAAGACAGCGCATCTGACTCCTATCTCTTTGGGTTTTGCTCCTGGGCCACACTGTACTGCAGTTTTTTTTTGTGCCTCTTCAGTCGAGAGTGACGGTTAAACTTGCGTTTCAGGGATCCGCGCCACAGACTTCTTTGGGGCGTTCTACATGAGCAACACCACGGACGTGGAGCTGGCCGGGCTGGACTGCGACAAGACCGTGACTGTGGAGTTCAAGCACGACGACAAGCTGAGCGAGGAGACCGGGGCCCTGATGCAGGTGAGGGCCAGCCCTGGCCTCAGCCGTCAGCGATACCTGAATCTGGTCTTGTGTGCATTAGAACAACTGTCTGCAGGCCAGGCCTTTTCCGTACGATATATGTGGAATTTGTCATCTCGTTATGAGAAGTCTAAAATCCCATATATGATATGTAATAACTAAGGCTAATCAGGAAAGCCAACTCAGATTAGACAGTCTATACATTCAAACAAGAATGCCAAGGCATCCTTTATGAAAAGGTTTACCTTGATGGATTGCAAAATCAAGCCCTTTCTCTGCAGTCGTTTCTGTGTGTATTTCATGCCATACTTGAATGAATAGCCTTGCTTCTGTCCAGAAATGTGTTGACATCATCCTTGAGGCACCACACAGAGAGCCGAGGAGCTCAAAGACACTGGGATTGCAGAGGTCAGGGAAACCGCTCGTTGACTCTGCTGTGGTGTGCAGTCAGCGGTGGATACTGGAGGCTGATAGCTGTGAAGTATATCCAAGTGATCAAGCTGTGCAGTGCTTGCATCTTGAGCCACACCTCTCCTTTGCAGTGTGCAGTGCTATATACCAGCTGCAGCGGGAAGAGGCGGCTCAGGGTGCACAACCTCGCTGTCAACTGCTGCACCCAGCTGGCCGACTTGTACCGGAACTGTGAGACCGATGCCCTCATCAACTGCTTCGCCAAGCATGGTACGTCCAGTGCACTTCATTTGTGCAGCTTCAGAATATAGGACGGCAGAGTGTTTTATATTTTCCACTTTTTAAATAATTTCACATTTATCATTACACTGTAAGTTAAGCTTTTGCATTTTCTCAGCAAATATATAATATACCTGTAGCAGAAATTATATAACTGGGAGCTAGTAGGAGAAACTAAGTAATGCCATATTAGGCAGTTGTCAGTAGGCACTGTCTGATTCTCATTTAGGTAAACTGATTATAACATTTACACTGACTGACTGGGTTACACAGTAGATTGAAATATGAATGGGAATCTTTTGCATTTAAATTTACAATCCTATGTGCACAGCCTACCGCAGTGTCCTGAGCAACCCCACCAAGACCGTGAGAGAGAGCCTAATCAACCAGTGTGCACAGATCCTGGCCTGCTACCGCAAGAACTGCGCCAGCCCCTCGTCTGCAGGACAGGTATGGTACTGTTACAGGAGTGGCTGCTTGCAACAGCTACTTTGTCTAGTAGGAAAAGGTAATCTAACCCCAACCCTGGTCCTGGAGAGACACAGTCCAGCAGGTCTTATAGATTAGGGGTTCCCAACCCTGGTGTTGGAAAGACACACATCTGCTGATTTGTGTTTTAACTATGTTCTCTGTTATACAGTACAACTGTTCTTTAATGTACTAGTAAGATTAACCTTAACTGTTTTAACTGCTTTCAATTCTCAAACTGTTTTGGGGTTGCTTGTTAACTCGCATGTCAAGAACAGGATTGGGAACCCCTGTGTTAGTGTCTTGACGTAGCCTCCTCAGCAGGGTAGCACTGTTTGTGAGAAACAGGCCAGCTGTAGTTCAAATGCTAAGTCTGAGGTCAGTTGGTTACTTTGTTGCCATCTCTCTGTAGAAGAATGGACAGAAGAATATTTTCACATGTCCTGGGGAAATCACTATAATTTCTGAATGTCAAGGTAGAAATTGCTTTCTGAAGTGAGCCAAGTCTAACCGGTGTAGCAACCAGCGTGACATGACTGGGGCTTCAGCTCTCAGAATTTCATTCACAATTTGGAAAACATTGGGCTCTGAAACTAAGGATTTTAACTAAAAAATGTGAATTCTGTTTCAGAGGCAGGTTTGAGTTTTGTGTTTTCAGTGAAGATGCTTGGAAATCTGTACACTAGATTCATAGGTGTTTCTTTGTCTGGTGCTTCAGTGCCCAGGATGCTTGTCATGATGAATAACCGCTGGGTACTGTTCCCCTGTCTCTGTTACCTATTGCCTTTCTGTTATTCTGGGTCTCCTCTAGTTTTCCTGGCTCCAGTGTAGTACCAATTCCATATGTGGACTAGATGGTTAAGGTTTAGAGACTGTTTATAGTCAATACTGTTTTGTTCCAGATTGCTTTTTAAACAAGAAGTTGCTAGTTGCATGTCCCATTCTGGTTGCAAAAGTCCTGGGAGCACAAGGCAAATATTTCTGTGCAGCGGATCATGTTTCTTTTATGGATTCTGTAGTGAGTTCTGTAGAGAGTGGTTATCATTCTTGTCTCCCATGTGAAAGATCCTTAGTTTGAAACCCCACAGGAACATGTTTAGTATTTTAGAGTTTAGAGTTTGGAACAAGTTACCCTGCCATGTGGTTGAAGATGATACCCTGGCATCTTTCCATAATTTGCTGAATGCGGGATCAATTCACTACTACCAACCAAACAGGCTCGATGGGCTGAAAGGACTCTTGTTTGGGCCTATCTTATGTTCTTGTGCTTTTGCCTGGAGCTGCCTGGAGACTGCAGATCACGATTCAGAGGATTGTGTTCGTGTTGGGCCATTACACAACAAAATCATTTGGAGGAATTCTGTTCACTTGTTGTGCAGAGAAGGGGAGACATTCTGTAAACCACTCGTCTGTTCTCAGCCTTCCGGGTAGCGGATTTCAGATGTGCTCTGCGCTGCGCTGCGAGAGTCTATCCTCACTGTGTGCTTGCTTCCCTGTGTAGCTGATCCTGCCTGAGTGCATGAAGCTGCTCCCAGTCTACCTGAACTGTGTGCTGAAGAGTGACATCCTACAGCCCGGGGCTGATGTCTCCCTTGATGACCGGGCCTACCTGCGCCAGCTCATCTCTTCCATGGACGTGGCAGACAGCCATGTGTTCTTCTACCCACGGCTGCTGCCTCTGGTAAGTTGCCTCGCAGTCTCTGTGGTTAGGACGCTCTCAGCGGCTCTGGACAGTGAAACGCAGTGCTCAACGGTGTTGTCATGTAAGGCCTCGTCCTCCTCTCTGCAGCAGAAGCTGGATGTGGAAAGCGATGCACTGCCAGTGGCCGTGCGGGACTCCGAGGAGCGGCTGTCCAAGGGCGGGGTGTACCTGCTGGAGAACGGGCTGAACCTCTTTCTGTGGGTGGGGGCCAACGTGCAGCAGGAGCTTCTCCAGAACATCTTCGGCACACCTGCCTTTGGACAGATAGACCCCACCATGGTGAGCCTGAATCACACCTGTGGCTTGACTGACCAGGGACTCCCTGTGACTGGGCAGTAGTAATGTTCCTCTTGCACTCCGAGTGGCTGGGGAAGAAATACACCTGTACGTTATTACATACACAGCATCTGCAAGATATGGAAATAGTATTACCAATCGCATCTTTAAAGAAATACATTCAATATATCTTAGTGATGTGGAAGAAGAAACAAAAATAATATTGTACCCAGCAGTTAAAGTTGCTTGTATTAGAATAGGGATCTTCGTTCACTTGTGAATTTTGTAAAAACACAAAGTCACACTTAATCTTTCTGCAGACAAACCTGCCTGTGCTGGATAACCCTTACTCCAGGAAGCTGCGAGGCATGATCGACACCTTCAGAGCCCAGCGGCCGCGGTACATGAAGGTGAGTACAGTGTTTCTCCCGTGCATACACATGCACAAGTGTGGGATACTCTCCCCATCCTTCCATCCTTTTACAATTGACGTTGAGTTCCTCTAAGTCTCCTAGCATTCGTATTTCATTCATAGCAAAGAGAAAGTTTCTGAAAGAGAAGAACTCAAAAGTGCACTTAGATTGCAAAAGTGGCAGTTGTCAGGGGGATTTTGTATTGAAACAAATTCTATTCTTTCTACTTTGTCATTGTATTCAGTTTTGTTACATTCAGCTTGTGAAATGTTTAAATAAATGAGGTTTCAGTGTTGAATCAATCTGCAATTTTTAGCCTGGCCCTCAACACAAACAATTGCATACAGTAAGATATCAGTACTGGCACTCTCAGTCAGATAATTTACTAGAGAATAAGCGTCAGTGACAAATATTAATTAACAATCTTTATCACACTTAATGAATTAGGAAATTTAAGAAGCAGGAGGAGAGAACAGTAGGTGATGATTGAAAATGGCTTCTAATTACAAGCAAACAAGACAGAAGCGTGGAGCAGCTCTTACAGCTGTGAACATCTGTGTGTCAATCTCGACAGACACAAAGGTACTTGGTTTGCAGTGGGCTGGTATGTGGACCGGATGCAGGACCTACTGAAGGAGTCCTACGTGTCCCTGTGCAGGTCCTGGTTGTAGCTATGCAAGTCATCAAAACTGCAAGGTTAACAGCCTTTTCCTTTATAACACAGCTGATGGTGATCAAACAGGAGGACAAGCTGGAGCTGATCTTCAGGCACTTCCTGGTGGAGGACAAGAGTAGCAACGGTGGGGCGTCCTACGTGGACTTCCTGTGCCACATGCACAAGGAGATTCGCCAGCTGCTGAGCTAGGAGAAGGGTCACGCCCCCTGCCTCCTCCAATCACAGACTCGCTTCTTTTAATTGACAGAAGAAACAAGTGGAAACCAACCTCTCCAACCAAATTGTCTCTTTCCCTTCTTCTCCCTTCTTCTGCATCTAATCCTACAAGTTAAAAAAGAGGCTGATAAGTTGCACTGTCAAATCGCTTACCCCTACAGGGTTAAGCTTCATTTCTTAATTAATCCAACCATTCTGATGTGTGGGACTGCCTGTGTCGTGTCTGATCAGTCACATGTGACAGGGACTGACGCTGATTGTAGAGTGTTCTGTTTGAAGACACTAGCACTGAATGATTTCTTGGTGGGAAACACTGGTTCTGCGATTGCGAAGCTACATTTTGTAAGAGGCAAATCTACGCTCGACGGAAAAAAATGGGAAAGTTACGATCTTGCAGAAAGAAAAAAAAAAACTACATAAAATAAAATTCTGGTTTTCATCCGGAGATTTATTTTTCTATTCTGCCTCTGGCTTTCTCTGCAACGGCCTTTCTCATCCCATCATGGTTATTAACTTCCTGTATCTTTAGAGCGTGTCATTTTCATTCCTCTGGGAGTTTTTATTTTCTTTTAAATTTTGGGACAAAAGAGTGCTGCCATCTCACTGATGGCTTTCCCTCAGTGTAAAAGGACGGTTAATCATCACTTTCCAGGGATGTTTGAAATGGGGATGATAAGAAGAGTGCGAGTGGCCAGTCAGTTATGTGCCTGAGGCTTAGGGTAGCCCAGCGTCTGGATTCTGTCAGGACCCGTGAGTCAGTGTGCAGGGTGACCCTCTCTGGGTAGTCGGTCTATCGGATATCTCAGTGACTAATTTAATTCTCAATGATCACAGCGCTGGTTGTGTGAGATCCTTGCAGTGAAAAAGATTTAAAGATCTTGATAGATGACTTCTCCAGCTTTGTAGGATCTGTTTGTCATTTTCACACTTGAGAATGACAACAGGGTTATGACAGCAGCTATTCCAGGCCCCGGAAGAGACTGAATTAGTGCTCATTCTGTGGTGTTTGCAAGTATCCCTTCACTGAACAGAAGGAAGCCCCCACTTTTTCAGCTTTATTACAGCTTACTGCATTGTTTGGGTTTACAGATTAGAAATAAAGCGGATGAGAACATTCTGCTAAATGTACATTATTGTTTTGAGTTGCCGTAAAGTGGTCACGCTGTTTATTCCTGTGTTCCTCCATGCCAGGCCCACTGCTGTGCTTCTGAACTCTTCCTCTGCTTTCTGGTAAAGTGAATACTGTTTGTCATTGAAAATCAAGCGTCTCTCCTGTATATCAGTACAGTGAAGTAAACAAATGCCCCTATATGCGTAGTGAAGAGAAGTGGTACAGTATGTATCGCTGTCTAGACTCAGCCCCCCTGCTGTCCCGGGAAGAGATGGTGAGGTTAGGGAACCCTGTGCAATAATGCACAACACACAGCGTTCCATCCTTCTAGTCAAGCAGAGTACCTTGCCCCCCTACTCTTGTGCCGGAAGATCAGCCTGTTTTCCTACAGCAAAGGAGCTAACCAGCACAAATTTGGTGACTGATCCTGGTGAATTTCTGTACAGAAACTGAGGGTTCAGGGACTTGGAGACCGAATGCTGCACTATTATGTAGTGATCGCTCCCTTTTGTGTAGCTGCCCATGCTGTTGCAGCTGGAATGTGCTTTTTAAACATGAATGACTACTTGCAGATTAAACATGTGGTTTTTGCACTGCAAGTGAACTAATTTTGGACAGTTAAGAGTAGATTTGCACATCTATGTCATTGGTAGTGTTTACCACACAAACCATCAAGACCTCTTCAAACTGAAGCCACTTTTTTTCTCTGTTAAACGAGTTAGTCTGTATGCTATAAGAAACCATCTTGTAAAAGAATATTTGGTTTGAAGATTAAGAACATCTGTAGGGCTCTCTGTATTGATTACTTCAGATGTGTAAAGTTAATATTGTGGTTTTAAAATGGTGTTGAGAAAAATTGCAGGCTAATTTCAACAAGCATTCCTTCTGAAATCTGCATGCTTCAAACAGTGAAAATGAGAAAACTCACCCCAAGATTGTTTCTCCCTGGTCTTCTTGTTTACTTGTGACATTGATACATTTCAGATAAGCAGTTGTCAAATCCTTCAACCATGTCCCCATACTGAGGAATCATGTGCAAGTCTGTCCTGTAACAGCCAAAATCCCCCAACTTTTTGCTTTGTGCTGAAATAAAGTATTACTTTTCAAAGCAAGTAATTTTGGAGGAATTATATGGCTATTAGGGCTTTGTTTCACTCTGTGCACAAGTACCCCAATTAAAATTGTAGGACTGCCCCAGTAGAAAAAGAGAATTGGGAATTGGGATTGGTTGATTTCCAGAGTGAGTTTTGTTTCTCATCTATAAGCTGTGAAGATTTTCCAAAGACATATCTGATGAGAATGAGTTTATTACATCACTGAGACTACATTGGGATTAGAGACATAATGTCCCCCAGGGTAGACAGAGTAAAGGACATAAACCAATAGAGTCAGGCCATACCCAGCGCAGTGTTGATTTGCACTTGAATAATTTCCTTTTATTTAATTCAAAGAGATCCATTGCCTGTGTTTACCTCTGATTTGGGGAAATAAAGTAGACATACGCTCTTATAAAACCTGACTTAATGGTTCTTTCTAAGCCAAAAACATAATACAACCTTTCAAGTGTGACTGGGAAAGAACTGCACACAAATTGTCATTTGTCTGATTCAGTAAATGCTTTCAATTTGTTTCCCCTTTCAGATATCACAACTCTGCCTGCATTCAATTTAAACTGATCCTTACCTTAGACTCCCTGCGAACATTACTGGTACATGGCATGGCTTTTATTAACAGCCGTCACATAGAGTTTAAACGTCTATCGTCAAACAGGACTAACGCATATCTGGAGGTCAGAGTGTTACTGGGAACTTAAGTGTGTAACAGGCTCTTGTGCTATGGAATCGTACATTGTAAAGGCTTGGTTTACGCGCCACGATGTAAATATGTTGCCTGGGTGCTTAGCTTCAGGTAAACTGTGTTGCAGGAAGAATGTGGAAGCAGCAGATACTTGTCAGTACCTTTCTCACTTTCATCCCAGTATATCACATACCAGAGGCTGTCGGTACCTTTTGTTCCGGGGCACATGCTTTAATGGTGGTTGAGTCTGTTTTCCAGGTTGTTATTAAGAGGGTGTTTTCTGCACAGAATTTTGCTACTGGGCTTGTTTAATTTGTGGAGTTAAGTTAGGCTGAATTTCTAAGTCTCTTGTTGGGTCCCCACTCTTCAGGCTGTTTTCAGCATCTCCTGCTATGCAAGACAAACACTAGGCTGACTGGCCTGGTGTGTCAGACCCTTCCTGCTGCTGCCTCCTCCGCTCTGATTGGGGATGGTCAGATCAGCAGACGGGGAATCGCTGTGCGTCACTCGCCATTCTCCTGAGAAAGCAGTGGCGTTGAAGGAATGGAGGCAGGTGTCGGCTCACGCAAACACTCCGTGCCGTCTCCCCACAAGCGTCTGCAGGGGGCGATGGTTTTGCAGCAGGAAGCAGCTGAAGGAATTCTGGTCTGGCGCCCAGCATGACTTCACGCCTGCAGGGTTATTCAGTGCCTCTCTTAAAAGTGAAGAAGTGCACTGACAGGCCCCCTGCTGCCTGATCTTGGGCTGTTTCTTCTGCACCTTTCCAACTCCCCCACCATTGCAGTTCACATCTGGACAGGGCTGTGTGGTTTGCCTTCATTGCAATCGTTTTCCCCACCTATTTTGTGGAAACGAACCTTGTCACTGAGCAGGACATCAAGAGCACTGTAAGTCCCAATGGAGCACCAGATCTAAAATGTGTTTAAACTGATGCATCCAAACCGGGAAAGAGCAGAGCAAAGCAGTTTATTAATATATATATACCCAGTAGTTTTAATTCTGTATAACCTGAATGGTTTATACCATTATGGGCTAAATCTCCCTAATTATGGAAATGACAGATTTTAAAGAAAAATGTGATAAATATTAAAACTAACCCTGTCTCCCTCCTCATTTTTTTAAACCTGTTTTTTTTCTTTCTTGGTTGTGTAACTTTTTAATATGCAAAATAAAATCATATTGTTTATCCTTTATGCCTTGTGAACAATGCATCAGTGCCATGGCCTGTATGGATCTTGCCAGGTTGCATTATGGGTAGTGCTGGGGCTCGCGCATGCCCCACTGTGACTTCCTGAGCATAAGCTTGCAGCGTTGTCAGAGACAAAGACAGATCCTCCAGCGGGCATCCCTGTTCCCTCCAGACCCCCTGCTGGTGAGCAAAGTTGATTAATAATAGTGGAATAGTGTAATTTCAAATTAGAGAAGGAGGAAAAATGTTCTTGGACAGTTCAGCTTTGGAGAAAAATACCAACCCTGTGTGTTAAGAGGAGTGCTGGTCTTGACACTCTCTGTGCGTCCGACTGGGGAAGCTCATCGGACAGACGGCGCTGCTGGTGATCTCCACATAGACCAGAGCCGTCGGGCAAGGCAGCCAACTCTCCCCTGCTCAGCACTGACCTTCCTTGTCGTTGCAGTTCCTGGAATAAGCAGAAGCTTCTATGAAATCACTGAGAGCTCACCTTGCAGCACCCCTGCCCTGTAATGTCATCGCGTCATCTTTTATCAGCTGAAATAGACATTTCCTGTGTCTTGGTTAGGGACTTGTGTGCTAACTGTGTCATGGTTTTTCAAGCGATCTATCTGGTGATAGTTGCAAAGCTTATACTACTGTATATGTCATGTCTTATCTTTTCCCTTAAACTCAACCTTAGCCCAAGATTTTATACTTTTTAAATTTCAATATAACATTTCTGTACTGATATTGTCATTAGACTGGGAAGACTTGGGACATCAAGTCTGACACGATACAGACTCCACAAGGTTTGACATCAATCTGTGTGTATTTTAGTATGTGCCCATTTACATTCCAGTCATTCACCTGCGGGTGACAAGGTGGCATGACGTTTAGCGCTGCTGCCTCCCAACTCTTGCAATGTCCTTGGATTGATTTTGGATAGGGGTATCCTATGTTTGGAGTTTGCATGGTCTGTGTTCATGCAGGATTTCTCAGAGTGCTCGGGTTTCCTCCCATCTTCGAAAGACAAGCTGACCGAACGTTAGTCCCCAAGGCACTGTTCTATTTGCATGTGATCCCCGTGACCTCTGAGTACAGCACACTGATCTCCCTCAGCACTCGGCACTGGGAAGAGTACTGAACAGAAAACACACATTCAAGACTTTGTAACACCTTGAATTTGGGAAGCTTTCCGATGCTTTCACTTTCCCGTTCCAGTTCTGTGAATGTGAAAGAGAGTGTTTGGGAAATGAGTCCATTCCTAGGGCCTGTGCTTTCCGTGAGTTGCTGGCCAGCAGGTGAATGAAAAGCTCCATCTCTACCGTGTCTGACAGAGGGCCCTAATACACATCTCCAGCTATGTTTACAGGTGCCTCTACATAGACGGTCAAACTCTCAGTGATCATTTTCTGCTGGGCTCATATTTCTTCGCTCTCCAGTCAAACTCAGTCCATTAACAACTGTGTTGGGCTATGATCAGCAGACATTTTGTTGACCCACCCAATGATATTTTTTGTGCCTGTGCTGGCAGCATGGACAGCTTGGCCAGGCTGTAGCCCGTCCCATCCCAGTGTTTGGGACCACCTGCAGTAGAGGTTGTGGATGGTTTTTGAGCCTATGGGATATGCTCTGCACATTCCACAATTTTTAAGCAGGACAGAGATTTGGCAATCCTTCAGGTCAGACAAGGTGATGCATGCTGGTCTCCTGCTTCTCAAGCTCAATCGTGCATTTCCTGCCCCAAAGACAATCCATTCGTTGGAGGGAGAGGGATGAATATTTTGGCCAGACAGGTTCATTTAAATTGAATGTGTATTGAACACATCCTTCAAAATCCAGTTGCTTTTCTAAGGCTGGCTGCTGAGCCATGGATAAACAGAGGTAATTGGACACCTTTTAAGTAATCACGCTAAATATGATGTCAGAACAAAATGTGGCTCCATGTAGAGCTGAGCTCTACCCCCAGTCTTTCAAATTCATAAAGGAGTCAAGGATATTTCTTCCTACTTACATTTCTGTGTTCAGCAATGAAGAATAACTCCAGCAGATGGCAACAAAGTTTTTTCAGAGGTTCAATGATGCTCCTCTTTGGTGTAGCTAGGAGAAAAGCAGTCTCTGGCATTTTCTGTCTTCCCTCTCTCTTCCCTCCACTGTTTTCCCTGATCTGTCCACTTCTTTTGCTTCTCTTTTCTCTTTTCATCCTTTTCCTTTCTGGCCTCTCATTGCCCTGTTGCCCAAGATGTTACTATAGTGCTGACTGAGGTCCCTGCGCTGTTGGAGTTTTCAGTTACCATGATTATTGAAAGAAAAGCCATTTTGTAGCCTGATGGATTTGAAGCATGCATCTCCCCCAGTCTGCATTCTGGGTTCAGAACTCCCAGCGCTGCATTGTACCTCCTCACTCTGAAGTCGTAACATGTGCCAGTGGTTCCCCGGCCTCATCCCCATCCCCCTGCTGTCTCTTGATGTTGCCGTGTAAGGAGCCCCAGATCTGGAGCGGTGACCCCAACAACAGAAAGGATCCGAACCTGCAGAATATGAGGTGCTGAGCCAACATTGTGAGAGGGCGCTATTTGTCCTCTTCATCTGAGTTCTCTAGTCTCTTCAAAAACTATGGGCTCAAAACTATGAAGACTGATCTAAACCGACAAAAAGAGAAGTACCACTGGTCCCAGCTGCAGACATGAGTACAGGCACCCTGCATCTTACACTAATTCAGCCACTAGACCATCCTAACTCACACTTACTCAGAAGTGGCATCATTGACCAGCTTAGTTTTTAAAACCAAATGTTTATTATTTCAGCCACAGTGACTCAGTCCTTCGCGTGGGCCTTTGCTAGAACTGCTCTGTGTGGAAGGTTTTCCTATGTGTCCCACTCTTTTTGCCCACTGTATCGTACATTTTACAGCACAGATCCTGGAGACAGTGGCCACCAAAGCCACCTGATGAATCAACTCTTACACACCACTGAGCAGGGTGGTTTTTGGCACTCTCAAGAGTGAGACCTTAAACCACTAACACTGCTCTCCTCCTCTCCTCCTCTTCTCCTCTCTTGTCTGGGATCACCACACACGGTTCCACTCTCCCCCTGTTGTCTTTCAGACCCTTCAAGAAAACACCTCTGCCACTCATGGCCCAG